TTGATCAACCAGAAGGCCTTTGATGGACAAGAGTGTCCATACCATGTCATCGACTGGAAAAGCTCGAAGCTGCCTCGGGTGACACGATCTTCCCTTGGCGCCGAAGCTCAAGCCGCTGGCCAAGCTGAAGACAGCGTTGACTTCATATGTCGCTTCTGGGAGTGCCTCAAAGACCCCGACGCGACCCTGGCCGAGATCCTGGAGAGACCTTCATCTCTCTCACCTGTTTTGGTGACTGACGCCAAAGCCCTGTACGACAGCTTCCACAGAGATGGCTTTGGGACTGGTCTGACTGACCGTCGAACCTCTTTGGAGGTCAAGGTGATCAAAGAAGGATTACAATCCTTGGGTGGTTCACTACGGTGGCATAGCTCTGAACGGCAATTTGCCGATGGACTCACGAAGGAGTCAACACGACAGCTCCTTGCTGATCGACTTCGGCATCACCGCCTGAAGTTCACCTGGGACCCCACCTATCAAGCCTCAAAGCGGAAGGATCTCCAAACACGCCTGCAGAGCCAGAACGAGTTCAGCAAGCCAAAAGAAGATGCTGATGAGCAGTTGCCTGATCAAGATCTACCACAAGATGACGAAGTTCCTGGCCATGCTACTCACTACATGGAGTCCTATGTCTACATGGCTGACCCTGTGGACTATGTCATGGCCAATGAGGAGACCAACGACTATGAGCACACTGAGCTCTCCATCATGCAAGAGCCTGAGGTCATTGCCGACCTGACGAACGTCAACACGGCGACCGGGGACTTTGCCACCAGTGCAAGTCGCTCTATGTCCTGGTGGATGAGTTGGTTGACGGCATTTTGCTGTCTGGTCTCCGGGAAAGCGACAGAAGTGCTTCCCTCAAATTTTGAGGATTTCGCTGTGGCACAATGCCCACTGCAGATCTATGAGCCGAAGACCGAAGGTCTTGGATCTGGTTCCTATGTCCTTGACTTCCTCTACGACTTCTCCTATGACGTCTTCCTCCTGATCCTCTTCCTCACCATTGTCTTCATTGCCTATAAGGCTGCATTGATCTTTGGATGGCATCAGGGCTACCGCTTTGTTTTGCGGCGGCGAGCTGTCAGAGCTGAGCGCTTTGAGCGATTGCTGGAGGAGAAGACGGAAGAACTCAATTCAAGGAATGAAGCCTTGGAAGAGATGGCACAGCAACTGAGCCGGAAACATACAGAGATTGCCAATCTCAACCAACATGTCCAAGATCTACGAGGTCATCTCGCCAATGCCCAACCAGAGCTTCTGCATGCCCTGCAGCAGGAGCGAGCCAAAACAGCCAGACTGCAACTGAACGTACAGGCTTTGGAGCAAAGCTACTTCCAGAAGAACGAGCAGGCGGTGACGTTTGAGCGACACATCAGGTCTCTCGAAAACTCAACTTCTGAGTATGAGAGGTTACGCACCAGTGGCATGCGTGTGATGAACCGGGCCCACAATGAGCTCGAACACCACTACAACAGGTACCACCGCAACGGTGAGATCTGTGTGGCGAACAGAGGGACGGTGTGGCACACCGATGGAGGATGCTACCACCTCCACAACTCCTTTGTTCGAGAGCTGTGGCCTTGTCAAGCCTGTGCTCAGGATGTGATGACTCCCCACATCCGGAATGAGAACGGCGTGACGTTGCACAACGCCATGACTGGATGGCTGGTGTCAGCTCAGTTCTTCGACACCTCCAATGCGGACTACCCGATGTTTCCTGTGGTTCCAGGAGCAGCTCGTACGGGCGCCGCACCTTCTTCTGCCAGCGCACCTTCAAATGCAGCTGGCGCCGCGTCTTCTGCTGCAGCTGATGTCTCTATGACAACTGGCTGATCTGGGTCCTGTGCAGGCCCCTCTGGCATTGCTAAGCCCTGGGCAGGCTTCTCGCTTTTGGCGCTGGCGACGTTGGCCAAGACGGCCTTAGACTTTTCCTTTTTTTCACAGTTTCACCAAGATACCCCCATGTCAAGTGCACTCCATGCACCATGGGTCACAACATAGCAATTCATGGCCCTGCCGTGGCTATTTACCCTTAAGGGAGGGAATTCACGCGCTGGATGGCGCTACGGTGACGCAACCTCCTCGTGAAAGGTTGCTGCAGCTGACGCTGCTCGGTGGGACCGGACTTCGTGGGCTGGCTACCCCCCGTTCTTCGCAACATGAATATAGTTGGAGTCCAGATTCAACAAGTGTCCTGACATGCGTTTTTTTTCCCCTAAAAGGGCTAGTTAGGACACTTATTAATATGGTCTTTAGAAGAGAAAAGCCACAAGCCAAAAAGCCGATTTCTTTAGGGTGTCGTAAAGCCAGGTGAAACCAAAAGCCAACAAGCCAGAAAACCAAAAAAGGCCAGAAGCCAAGAGCCAACTGAAGCCAACAAGTGAAGCCAAAGCCAAAAGCCAAGAGCCAAGTGAAGCCAAAGCCGATTCCAGGCCAGTCCTACAAATGTTTGTGCTGCTCCAGACTGAAACCAAAGCCAAAAGCCAAAAAGCCAAGCGAAGCCACAGCCACCAGAGGCCAATACACACCAGATCCAGCAAGTGTCCTGAAGCCAAAAGCCAAAAGCCAAAAAGCCAAGTGGGCAGGGAAAGCTGCTCCAGACTGAAAAACAAAAAAAATCCTAAAAAAAAACAAAAAAAATCCTAAAAAAATATACCCTCCTTTCCAAAATTATTATTTAAATTATAATTTTTCAAATTTATTATTCAAAATAATTTCCCACAATTTTCCTGTAAAATGGCTCCCGGAAATTACGCCACAAAATTCCTATTCTGCAAAATTATTCGTAAATTAGTCAAAATTATTCCCAAAATTACTTCCCTTCCCAAAGCTATTCCCCAAAGCTGCGGTTTTTCAAAGTTACTGCTCAAAGCTGCCGTACAAAGCTACTCCTCAAAGCCGCTTCTGCTCCCCAAACCTGCTCCACAAAGTTATTTTCCAAAGCCGCTCCCCAAAATTGTTATCGAAATTTGCTCTGGACAGCTGCTCCCCCAAGCTGCTAAAACTGCCCCCGAAAATTGTTTCCGAAAATTATTTGCCAAAATTGCTTTCGAAAGCTATTGTCCAAAGCTACCGTTCTTCAAAGTAATTGTTCGTCAATGTTGCTGCAAAGCTATAAAATTACTCTTCAAAGTTGTTACCAAAGCCGCGTCCCAAAGAAGCGCACCAAAATTCCAAAGCTGCTCCGCGAAGCTGCCTCAAAGCTGGTCCGGAAAGTTGTCCAAGGCTGCTCACCAAAGCTGTGCCCCGGTGCTGTTCCCCCCAAAGTTATTCTACAAAGCGGCTCCAGAAAGCTGCGCCACAAAGTTGCTACTGAAAGCTGCTCTCCGAAGTTGTCTGTAAAGCTGCCCCCAAAAGCAGCTCCCAAAAAATGCTGTTCTTCAAAGCAATTGTTCTGCAAAGTTGTTCGCAAGCTGGCCAAAGTTGCTCCCAAAGTTGCTCCCCCAAGCGGTTCCCCGCAGCTGCTTCCCAAAGCTAGTCCCCAAAGCTGCTCCCCAAAGCTGCGGTTTTTCAAAGCTGCTGTTCGAAGCTGCCGCGCAAAGCTGCTCCTCAAAGCTGCTCCTCAAAGCTGCTCTTGCTTCCCAAAGCTGCTCCACAAAGCTGTTTCCCAAAGCCGCTCCCCAAAGTTGTTATCGAAAGCTGCTCCGAACAGCTGCTCCCCCAGGCTGCTAAAGCTGCCCCCGAAAGTTGTTTCCGAAAGTTGCTTCCCAAGTTGCTTTCTAAAGCTACTCCCCAAAGCTGTCGTTCTTGAAAGCAACTGTTTCAACTGTTCGTCAATGCTGCTGCAAAGCCGCAAAGTTGCTCCCCACACTTCCTCAAAGCTGCTCTTGCTTCCCAAAGCTGCTCCACAAAGCTGTTTCCCAAAGCCGCTCCCCAAAGTTGTTATCGAAAGCTGCTCCGAACAGCTGCTCCCCCAGGCTGCTAAAGCTGCCCCCGAAAGTTGTTTCCGAAAGTTGCTTCCCAAGTTGCTTTCTAAAGCTACTCCCCAAAGCTGTCGTTCTTGAAAGCAACTGTTTCAACTGTTCGTCAATGCTGCTGCAAAGCCGCAAAGTTGCTCCCCACGCCCAAAAGCTGCTCTCCAAAGTTGCTACCGAAAGCAGCGTCCCAAAGAAGCTCCCCAAAACAGCACGCACAGGCTAAGGAAGCAAGCGCAGTGTGTGCGGTAGAAGGCGGGTGCAGCAAGCGGGCAGTCTCGCAGAGATACGTGTTAGAAAGAGCACAGAGACAATAGCGCAGAAGCTAGGCAAGCCAGGGCGGTAGCTCGCACGGGGTCGGGACGGATCTAGGGGGAATCGAACCAAAGGAGAATCGAGGGAGCGTTGTGGGATTGCGACACGGGACCAGGACTGGGACCGCAAAATAAAAATCCCAAAAAAACGTTCCTATTTTGGAATTCCCGTTTTTCCAAATTCCAAAATAATCGGATTATTTCGGTGCCATTGGGGAGTTCCTAAAAAGGTCGAGCAAAAAGGAGTATTCGCTATGTCTTCATGCAGACTAAAGATGTATTCGGCCAACGGTCTAAAATAATTGACGTTTTTCAGGATTTTCGGACCAGCCGATTTACGCGCGCGGTAGCACCCTTACCGTAATATTAGTAGCAACAATTAGAATAAGTATATTTGTCATATAAATAAAATATGGTTTTTAATAAAGAACTTATTTTTCATAATTTAAACAAATATATTATTCAATTTTAATCATTAGTAATTTTTTGAATACCTAGGATCAAATTATCCGGCGGGGGACCGACTATGAATTTTAGTTCTTCAATATGTTTTTCTTAATAGTTTCATTTTTTTGTATTTTATAAATATGTTATTTAATTATTATTTGGATTCTTTATTTTATTCGTTTTTTGTTGCTTCCAATTGAATTGTTTGAAGCAGGTCGACTATTATGGGGATTCAGTTATGTGTTTATCGTTGTTTTGTACAGCCTGTCAGTGTGTACTGACCGAAATCAGTTTTGCACACTTCAACTGTGGGCTGTCCAACCTTGGAGTCAATGCGGAGGATTTCAGGGCCAATCGTAGGATATCGTAGGCTTGTACTTGAGACAATAGACTGAGTTCGCAGCATAGCCAGGCGCACATTGGGCGCTGACCTGAAGTTACTCAATCGATTCAAGCATACAGCACAGATCGTAGAATTCCTGCATTTCTTGGAACCCCAAAGCACGTAAACTTTGAACTGCACACAAATACTTGCCTTGAACTTGTGCGCTAGCAAGTTTTTCTCCTGAACTAGGTAGCCTTGCAACAGTAGTTGCTGCAGAGCCATTGACAAAATAGAGCTTGCACCAAGAGAGACAATAAATTTGCAACTTAAAAATTATATAATGATTACAATGGAAATTGAACGCATTAGAACAAATTATGCACACATGGCAAAGTGACAGTAGCAACGGCCACCTGTCGCATCATCTGGCGCTATGCTTCTGCTTGCTGCAGCCTTGCAGGCCTTGCAAATCTTTGAACCACACATTTTGAAAATAAGAAACAAGTGGTAGATTCTCAAGCACCTGAACACGAGACACTGCTGGGATATCAAGCCATTCTGGGGGGCAGCTTTGACAACTAGAAAAGCTCAGTCTAGTAGAGTCTAGTTAGTCTAGTGAGCATGAAGGGCGTGTCAAGCAGGTTCGCAAGAATCTCTGCATTTTTTCTGAGCTCAAAGCTGTATGTTTGATTGTGTGCGGAGCACGCAACAGCTTTCGGCGTTGAATCTTGGGCAAAGCCGCTGGTACACGATACCTACAAGTCATTGCAGCAGATCACCCGGGAAGAAACATCTCGTTTGGTCTTTCGTCATCTTTTCTAGTCACCAGAGACTGGACTTGAAGGAAATTACGGACGAAGAAGAACAATGAGTATGACCAGGTGTAAGAATGCCCTTCAAAGATAGTCTACGGCATTTGCTTTGTACCTTTTCCGGCACTCTGTCAAATCCCCTGTGGGAGCAGAGGAAATATGCCGTTTCACGAAATGCTGGGCGGCTTGCAGAACGAATGACAATCCAGCCAATCAGTCTGGGTTTTCTAAAAATTGCAAGGGCTTTCACCGCAACAATTGCATTCCAACTATGCCAGAGCCGACCATGCACAATATAAGCAGGAGCCGACTAGATTCACTTCGCAAGCCTGGACACAGGACAAGGAAAACAACTATCAATCATCAAGGCATAGTTGCGGAAAAGAATCCGCTACATCAAAGTTAGCAATGTCCAATTTGTTCTCTGTGACCAGGTAGCCCACTGTGTTGACCTCATTCCACAATCACTGGGATTCGCGGAAAACAAAAGTGTGTGCGTGTGTGAGTTATAATTAATTATGAGTGTTGAACGAGTGACCTCTACCACTAACAAAGTATGTTCTTCGTGGTCTACCCGAGTCACTGGGTTCAACGATTCTGTGATTCACCCTGTGCTGCACTCGTGCGCTTGCAGGAGCTGAAAACCTTGCATCTGCGCGATCGAAGCATGTTTCTGAGCAACCCCTGAAACATTTATAGGACATTTATAGGACATTTATGGGACATTTATAGGACATTTATTGGACATTTATGGGACATTTATAGGACAGTTCTAGGACAGTTCTAGGACAGTTCTAGGACAGTTCTAGGACATTTATAGGACATGGATAGGACATGTATAGGACATTTATAAGACATGTATAGGACATTTATAAGACATTTATAGGACATTTATAGGACATTTATAGGACATTTATAGGACATTTATCATTTATAGTAGGACATTTATAGGACATTTATAGTATGGACATTTATAGTATGGACATGTATAGGACATTTATAGGACATTTAACGGACATTTATAGGATATTTATAGGACATGTGTAGTACATTTATATAGGACATTTATAGGACATTTATAGGACATTTATGGGACATTTATAGGACATTTATAGGACATTTGTAGGACATTTCTAGGACATTTATGGGACATGTATAGGACATGTATGGGAAATTTACGGACATTTCTAGGACATTTGTAGGACATTTATGGGACATTTATAGGACGTTTATAGGACATTTATAGGACATTTGTAGGACATTTATAGGACATTTGTAGGACATTTATAGGACATTTATGGGACATTTATGGGACATTTATGGGACATTTATAGGACATGTATAGGACATTTATGGGACATTTATAGGACATTTACAGATCATTTATAGGACATTTATAGGATATTTATGGGACATTTATAGGACATTTATAGGACTGAAGGAAAGGGTCTCTCTTCGGGATACGTCGAGTGCATCGCTTCGGGCTACGCCTCATGCATCGCTTCGGGATACCTCAACATCATCATCATCATGACCCTCATCATGATGATCATCATCGTCGTCGTCAACAATAGGCATATTTCATCACCATCATTCTCATCATCATGTTGACCATCATGTGAGCATCATCATCATCATCGTCATCATCATCACCATCATTATAATAATCACTATCATCATTATCATCACCATCATCTTCATTATCATTGTTATAATCAGGTTCTTCTTCCGAGTATTATTCATCTTCATCCTCATCATTATCATGATGATGATAGCGCCAGGAGAAGATGTGATAGCGTGAGATCGTGTTGGTGTGCAGGTGCAAGAGAAGATCCGCTCCCCATGATGTAAGAAGAATGGCTCCTCCCCACCCCCCCAACCAAACCCTAAATGGCTGAGTCAAGTAATGATGTAAGAAGAATGACTCCTCCCCACACCCCCAACCAAACCCTACATGGCTGAGCCAAGTAATGATGTAAGTAGAATGATCCCTCCCCATCCCCCCAAAAACCGTAAATGGCTGTGTCAAGTCATTCTATAAGAAGAATGATCTCTCCCCATCCCCCCAACCAAACCCTAAATGGCTGAGTGAAGTAATTAGATGATAAAAACGATGTTTTCCGTGTTGCCAAAAGTAGTGAAATCCGTGGTGCCCAAAGTGAGCGTCCAAGGTGTGAGGAGTGTGTGATTTGAGGATGTTGCCTGAAGTGATGCGTTTGGTGTTGCCCTAAGTGATGCGGGTACCACATTTATGGGACATGTATAGGACATTTATAGGACATTTAATGGACATTCAATGGACATTTATAGGACATGTATAAGACATTTATGGGACATTTATAGGACATTTATTGGACATTTATGGGACATTTATAGGACAGTTCTAGGACAGTTCTAGGACAGTTCTAGGACAGTTCTAGGACATTTATAGGACATGGATAGGACATGTATAGGACATTTATAAGACATGTATAGGACATTTATAAGACATTTATAGGACATTTATAGGACATTTATAGGACATTTATAGGACATTTATCGGACATTTATAGGATATTTATAGGACATTTCATGGACATTTATAGGACATTTGTAGGACATTTATAGGACATTTGTAGGACATTTATAGGACATCTATAGGACATTTATAGGACATGTTTAGGACATTATAGGACATTCAGGAATTTCCAGGGATTTTTTTGTCAAAAGAACAAACTCCTGAGATAGGGGAGTCATGCAGGAATGTCTTTGTCCAACCATACCATGATGCTGAGCTACCTCAACCTTGATCAATCGTCCGTTGGTTTATGTTGGGGTTGGGTTGACACAGGGGTAATGTTCTGCTACAGGCATGGCAAACTCGCTGGCAGGTGTGATCTCAGTGAGCCTTACTTTGACCTCACTTTGCTCGCAGGTTTTCCAGCCCAGCTTCTCCCAAAAATGTCAAGATGCATTGGGATGGCTAGAAAGGAAAGACAAGCGAAAGCTATTGGCCATATCGACATCAACCGAATGATCGCAACAGATTTCAATACATACCTTAAGTGTGATCCACAGAGTCAGGGCCAGCTTTGGGAGACAATGTCCCTTGCTTTGCGCACAACTAAAGAAACCAAGCATTAGCCAAAATATGCCCAGATTTGTTGTTTCTGTGGTTTGGGGCGCGATTCTATCAGCGTTCATCTTTCTCCTATCTGCTTTCATTTTTCTCCTATCTTTCTCCTATGCAGAGCTCAAAAGCATAAAAATGCAAAGGGACTCATTTCTGAACGGCCACCTGGCCACACAGAGCCAGCGTTCATATCATTCCCAATCTTTGTTACCACAAATCTCTTTATGCTTTGACTTGCCAAGTAGCAGGTGCTTTGCAGTACAGCGCAGGTGTGCAGCCACTGAGCAAAAATGCACCCTAGGTTGTGAAAAAGGTGCAATTGCCACTTCTGCATATCCAGTCAGTCATGTCAACCATTGTCACATGGAAATTTTGCAATGCTGCACGCAGCCAAGCATCTAAATGCTTGCTGCAAGCAGTAGCAACAGGCGTACCCTCGTAGCCTTTGTTGCACCTGTAGCGTCCCAATGGCCATGTTGCATCTGTTTAGTTCAGAGGATGATTCGACAGACCGGGGAGCGAACGTCACTGACACAGCAAAATGATCTACGAAGAGGTTGTTCTCTGACACCAAATAGCCTCAATGCATCTTCGGTAAGCAGTTGGTACCAGCAGCGTATCTGTCCAACAGACCAGATTGATACAAGAAATTGACATGGACTTGGCTTCGCCCATCACTAAAGCCAGACCAAACCGCACCAACAAGAGCAGTCAAAAATGTAGTGCGAGGCGGACGGGGTCCACTCCATTTGCTTAGCTCTTGGATTCCTTCACACTGGCAAATTCGCCAAAGCGCGCCCATTTCTGCCAAGATACCCACAGTGCTGTCTGGGGCGATGCAAACTGCCTTTCTTCCGGAATGACAATTCCATGTCTGCAAGACAATTAATGATGATGGTAAACCCAACACAAGTGCAATCTAGCCGAAACGGGACAAACCTCGCAAAACTTTGGACATCTTTGGACCAAACTCGAAACTCGTGCCGAATGTATAGCAAAAGCTTATTCCAATTGGTCCCTGAACTCCAACTGCTCAAAATGCTGCACGGACTTCAAATTCTTCCGCAAGGGCCTTTCCCTTTCTGCGTTGCTTCAGGGCACGGCAGCGGCATCACACGTTGCACATGGCACTCACAGCGGTGGCACCAATGGCAGTGGCAGTGGCAGCAGTACCAGCACCCGAACAGAGACGCAGTCTGGGGAAAGGGTAGACTGCCAACCCTCTTTATCTATCTTTCTCTATCTTTTACCTATGTGGATCCCAAGACCTACCACTGCCTACAACCAGGGAAAAAAATTGAAAAAAGGCATATTGATCCAACAAATCCCAGCCTGGATTGTTGTTGTAGATGTTGATGTTGTCGTGGTGACGGTGCTAGTGGAGGTCGTAGTAGTGGAGGTGACTGTCGATGTGCTTGTGGTGGTAGTGCTGGTTTCTGTAGTGGTGATGGTCGTCGTAGTCGCAGTCGTTGTGGATGTCGTTGTAGCAGTGGTACTTGTGGTGGTGGATGTTGTGGTTGTGGTTGTGCTGGTAATTGTAGATGTTGATGTTGTTGTGGTGCTTGTTGTCGTGGACGTCGTGGTGGTGCTGGTGGCTGTGGTTGTGGATGTAGTTGTAGTGCTTGTGACTGTCGATGTTGATGTTGTGCTGGTGGTGGTCAGTGTCGACGTTGATGTGGTGGTTGTAGTAGTGGTCAGCGTTGATGTGGTTGTCATCGTGGATGTACTTGTTTGAGTTGTGCTGGTTGTGCTAGTAGTGGTGGAGGTTTCCGTTTCTGTAATAGTGGTGGTGCTTGTTGTCGTGGACGTCGTGGTGGTGCTGGTGGCTGTGGTTGTGGATGTAGTTGTAGTGCTTGTGACTGTCGATGTTGATGTTGTGCTGGTGGTGGTCAGTGTCGACGTTGATGTGGTGGTTGTAGTAGTGGTCAGCGTTGATGTGGTTGTCATCGTGGATGTACTTGTTTGAGTTGTGCTGGTTGTGCTAGTAGTGGTGGAGGTTTCCGTTTCTGTAATAGTGGTGGTGCTTGTTGAAGTTGTCGTGGTGGAAGTTGATGTGACAGTAGAGGTGCTTGTGGTTGAGGTTGTGCTGGTGGTGGTCTCTGTAATTGTTGTTGTAGATGTGGTAGTGGTCGTTGATGTACTTGTGGATGTAGATGTGCTGGTTTCTGTAGTGGTCTCCGTTGAAGTTAGCGTTGTCGTGCTGGTCTCGGTCGAGGTAATTGTCGTCGTTGTGGTTGATGTTTCTGTGACTGTAATGGTTGAAGATGTTGTTGTGGATGTCTCTGTGCTGGTTGTAGTTGTTGTGATTGTCTCTGTGCTGGTTGTAGTTGTTGTGATTGTCTCTGTGGTGGTAGTTGTCACAGTTATTGTTTCCGTGACTGTCGTGGTGGTGGTGGATGTCTCTGTTTCGGTAGTTGTGGTTGTGGATGTGGTGGTGCTCTCACAGCCCTCCACGATATAGGCTTCGGCATCTTTGGTGCACTTCCGAACCTGCGCAACTCCTGTGTAGCCGTCGGCACAATTCGCTTGCACATCGAAGCCTTTCAAACTCAGATTGTGTTCCGTCAATGCATACCCTGTACTGTCGTCCGGAGAGCTGCATTCATCGGCTAAACAGCCTTTCAGCTCATACCTTAGATACAGTATTTCGAGAAGTATATAGCACAGAACATGCTGATAACATCCAACATCCAAGCACTGTTGAGCGTCTTAAGCACTGTCCTTTCTGTCCTTTTTGTCCTTTCTTGTTTTCGTGACATTGGTCGGCACTTGTTGCGCCGTGGTTTGGGCTCGGGGCGCGCTTTCTCAGATGTTTGAAAGACTGTCTGAAAGTGCATTCTACGGTGTGCTTAGCTACCCAGAGGTCTATCCTAAGGTCACATCCATGCGCATTCAAAAGAATGTCCAAACATTGTACCTGAATGGTATCCCAGTGCCAAATCATGTCCAGAGAAAGACTCTAGCCGATGCATCAGCCAACACAAAAGGATCTGTTGGACCAAGCCACGTCTCACGACTTGTGGCACACATCACAGCAGTTGCATTCCCATGAAAAAGCGGTGCACACTGTGCAGAAATCTTAAAGTCACTGGCGGCTGCGCTGGTTTCTGTCCTCAGCACATGGAATTTTATTCTGAAAGGAACAATGATGCACCGAATTTAGAATGTTAAAACATGGACATGTCAACAGGACCAAGACAAGTGTGACTGGTTTTATGAGTTCATATACTCCTTTTCATCGGACTCGTTTCAGCTGATAAGGAGAATCTCCACTTCAGCTGAAGTAAGCTAACAAAGGACCACAAAGACACATGAACGCTGACGTGAGGGTCAGCAACTGGAAAGAATGCTCTAAAGGGCCGGCCAAGCATCAACACATACCCAGAGGTATCGGAAGGCGTTTGGCATACGATCTCTTTGCATCCAGTGAGCTTGAAAGGTTCATTTTCTTTTTCACAGGCCTGGAGAATATTTCAGAAGCAGATCACAACTGCAGCTCACCAGTTCTTGCTTCTAGCACGAAGCTAGTCACTTCAACTGCTATTACTGGCTGCTTTCTGAGCTCCTCAACATACAGCTAATCATTAATCCAATGGACAGGTTTTAGAGCTACGTTGTGACTTGTCCTGCTTTTGAATTGCTGTCACGCCATGTCACGCCTCTACATTCGCATCGCCTTCATAGCCATCAGCGCATGAAGCTGCAACAGCAAATGTTGGCACCTGCATTCCGCACCCATCCATGAAGCGGTTGGGGGTGCTGATGACACACGTATACAACGACGATGTAATTTCAAGCATGGTATCATGTTGGCCACTACTTGTATATATAAAGTATGTGTATATGTATATATATATATATCACATCACTCCATGCTTGTGAACCATGAATCCATGAAAGAACAAGCAGAAACACTCCAAAGCAAAGACAGACTGCCTCCAAACTTGTGACAGTCAGCTTGTATGCTTTGTCCTCCGTCTCTGAACACACTACAATTGTTGTTGTAGTTGTGGCTGTGGTGGTGGAGGTTGATGTACTGGTGGTTGTTGTTGTAGTGGTGATAGTTTCAGTGGTGGAAGTTGTCGTTGTCGTCTCTGTCGTGGTTGAGGTGCTTGTTGTAGTGGTCGTGCTGGTCTCTGTTGTGGAGGTTGAAGTAGAAGTGGTCGTCAGGGTGGTCGTGCTAGTTGTGGTCGTTGTAGTGGTGATGGTGGTTGTCGTGAGCTCGCAGCCAGACAGTTCGTATGGTTTGCCATCCCCTGCGCACACTGTTGCTTCCGGCTCACCAAAGTAAGGCTTCTTGCCTGGGCAAAAGTGCCACGATTTGATTTCAGTGACACTGACACTTCAATTCAGGATCCCTCTGCGCCATCAGTTTACATCTGACCAGTCGCCATGAAAACTTTACATCTGCTCCCTCAACAAAAAACTCAAACAAGATGATTCAAGACCAAGTATGGCAAGATTTATCAAACATCATAAATTAGAGGATGGAAAATCAAACCAGCACTGAGAGATGGTGGATCGGAAACCTAGGAACAGATTCAAAGAGGGCGCGCGATTGGCTTCTTGACTATTGTTTGTTTATATATGTATATATATTTAATTGGTTTGTTTCGTTGTCACATTTATTGATTCACTAAGTCACTACTGAGTCATTTGTCCATGTACTCAATCATTCGTTCAACCAGTCATTTATCAAATCGCTCCTCTACTATCCTCTTCTCATTGACGCATTCTCTGTTCATTCGATCAGTCGGTCAGTAATTTCTGTCATGTCATTTCATCTCTGATGAGTTCAGTTCACCCTTCACTATTGCACTCGATCACTGATTTTGCATTTCTTCGGTTCTGCTTTATTTCATTTTAAATCATGTCACTTCATTCCTTTCTGATGCACTTCTTCGCTGATTTTTCGATTCTCATATTCGTTCATCTATCCATCATTTTCTTCTTTCGTTCATTCGTTCGTTTATTCATTAATTCATGCACTAGTTCATGCATGCGCTCATTTTTTCGTTCATCCACTCATTGATTTGTTCCTTCCTTGGCTCATGTGTGCAATCATTTGCACGACCCTTTTCTCACTCATTGGTTCACTCGTACGTTCGCTGATTCATGTTTTTGCTTGACTCTTTTGTTCACTTCATTGTTCGCTCAGTTGCTCACTCAATACTCATTCTTCTCACTCCCAACCAAACAGCCAGGCAGGTGCGTTCATTCCTTCTTTCCTTGGTTTGCTGTTGTGCTTGTGTGTGTGCTTGTTAGTTCATTCATTGATTCATCGATGGAACATTCGAAGAGCATGAAACAGGGAATGATGTGTGATTGATTGCGTGGAAAAGTGAGAGGCGGTTGAATGATTGATTGACTAAGTGAGAGGGAGTGGGTGAATCTTCCAGAATTCAACGAGTCATCAGCAATAAGTGTATATAATTAGTGCCTAAGGTTCGTTGAGAACATTGATAACTGATGAAAATACCCTGGTTTCTCAGTGATACACTCACGACTTGGGTAACTGATGAACTACGGCTGATACGCAGACAGCATCAGAAATATGTTTGGCTCATACATCTTCAGACAAAACGGTACAAAAGCACAAGAACAGCGGGACACACAGCCCTGGTTCATTGTTGTGGAACCAGCAGCCAGAAACACGTAGCAGTTCCAATGCAATTAGCGGGCTGACAAAACAAAGAGAGCCAATTCCAAGAAAACCTGTGCTCCCCATCCGTCTGGCCATCCGCCCGCTGCGCAGGAGCAAGAATCAAACCGTCCAAGATAAGGAAATTTGTTTCACGGCGACCATTCGTGAAGCTGACTTGAGAGCTCATGGAGCAAATCGTGTCGAGTGTTAATTTGCTATGATTTGTTTGTCTTCAGTGACAATTAGGCGCGTCTGTCTTTGGCATTGCAACCTGTTGCTACCAAATTAGTTTCCTTGCCAAGCTACACGCAACCTCCACCATGAAATCGCCTTTTGCCAAGCTGTTCTCGGACCTCCCAGGCTCCAAGGCACTGAGATTGCACCGCGAATGCGATTGACATCGATTGACCACTGTCGGGACTGTCGGGACTGAGATGCAGGCACTATGTAAGCCGGTGAAGCCGGTGGAGAAGTGCAAAATTCTGCTGCGCAACCAGAGAGCCTCCGTCGGATCGATTGCAACTTACGCAGAGAGGGCTTCACACTTCGCTCTTGTTGACAACTTGGACATTTGGTAATGAAAAAAGCAAACATATCTGTGCTGAAGAGCACTAGCAGGGCTTTTGAGTTAGTGAGCAAGCTAGCAGGAACAATCCAAAGACCAATATCACATGAATTTTCACTGCAGTTGTATCCAGATGCGCTGCAGAGTGGTTCATTATTCAATTTCCTGTCACCACTGTCGTGCACTCTATCCACCAGCTGTGCTTGTAAGAACTGCAAGTCCGCGTGTGGGGTCCACTCAATACAACAAGAACAAACAGCGTGCTAAAAATGTGTAACAAAAAAAACAAGAAAAAACATTCAATCGGTCCGATTCCTTTTGTAAAGTATTGTAAAGCCTTCAAGAAATGCATGTCCATCCGTGACAAGGCCACTTATCACTACTCATGCAGTCGAGCAGCTTGTATGGGGTCAAGTCCTCCTCACATTCAGTGACTTTGGGCTTTCCTTTAAAAGCCTTAACGACACATCCGACACATCCGACACATCCGGCACAGGCAAATCTTGGGTGGCTATCTGATCCGATCTACTGGCCAAGGATTTGTCAAAGCCCTGCCCCATCAGGATTGGGCTCAGAAAGTGTATGCACGCATTCGCCCACATAAAAGCACGACAAATAAAGACTCACAAGAAATGCAAAATAGTACTGATGTCTACAGTAAATCCAAAGCTTACACGAAAGTTCTGAGTCTGGACCAACTTTCTGGAAGGCCAGCAACTGCTTTGCACTTGACAGGGACATCCAGCTCGCCCTTCATCAGAGACAGCTCGGTCACAAGGTAGTTGGTGATGTTTTCGGGACGAAGACAATGCTCAGTTTTGGCCGTTGTAGCAGTTGTAGCAGACACTCTGAATCCACTTCAGAACTAAATGTGCATTGATGTAAAGCAAACTTCTTGCACTATGCATCTCTTCCTGATTCAAAAGCCCCCTACATTGTCACCTTCCTGCCTAGCCGAGTTGTGCAAAGTGCTGTAGTCAAACGATTGGACATGGATGGAAATGGCGCAACTCATGCACTCATGCACCTCCGTAAGAAATCGAAAAATCTAAGCTGCTGGCCTCTGCAAAAAGCTCCTGACTGCCAATTTCAACCGGTCGACTCATGTTCGCAACTTAGGCTGCTGACTCTCGACATCTGTTGACACCTCTCTATGTCTATGTTTGGACTGCGGATATCGGATATCATGCTGGACTGGCTTGACTCGAGACATCTGGGGTACAAAATCTGTCCTTGCCAAAGGATTCATCCTTGGTCAGGACCGCACCCTGAGTGCCTGTGACCACGGAGCGGAAGTCTCCATTGAGGTTCACTGCCTTTGGCTGCGAGCGGTGCAATGCAAAGTTTGTGGCTCCGGAAGGCGCAACAAAAATAACAAAAAGATCAGGTATGTGTTCCACTTTTCCTGGAACATATACATTGTATGTAATGTAACCTAACGTAGTATAAAGTAATGTATGTATACCATTATATAATTACCATTATATGTCATATTTCCAAATGCATAGAATCATAGAACTATGAGAATCGTGAGACTGATGCCAAGTTGGCAATGGAAGTTAAGGCCCCCACCACCTTGGACCAAGCTGATCGAAGCCATGTTCCAGTCGACGTGTCTTGGGTGCCCAATACAGTGGTTAGCACCCAATTTCGTACTTGCCGTGCTTGCTGCTGTGCAGAATTTTGGCCTGACGCGAAGATCTCCAACCTCAAACCTTCTATGGTGAAACAATTTGAGACATGAGATGAAACCATGCTGAAATCATGATGCCAATTCAATGCCGAATCAGTGTGGCCTGATGAGTCAACAGCGCTGGTGACCACAACACCAAAATCTGCTCTTTCTTTCAGCTTGGACAGCCTGCAGGACCGGAGATCGCACTACTTGGGAAGCAGCAGATAGCTGCGCAGGGGACTTTACAAGATTCTACGAGTAGACATACATAGATGGACCAGTAGATTGTCTAGTAGACTCTAGAAATCTCTAGATTGTATATTGTCATGTATCTTCTTTCGGCCAGGCTGCGGAAACTGGATCATGATGTCGAACTTAGAAGAAGGTGATACCTTCCAACCTCATAAAATTGACCACCTGTCTGCAACTCCGCAAACTCTCTGGCAAACATCTGAGTGGTCAACTCCATCTTTCACCACGGCAGGCTTTCTGCACTGAGTCTCCCTGAGACAGACAAGCGTCAAGGCACGGCAAGTCATGTTGTACTGGATCACCTATGGATCTATGGGAACAAAGGAGGCTAAATCCATCGACTTAAACAAAAATTCACAAAACTTGTTTGTGGGTAGGTTGCACTGCATGAAAATCAGTGTTGCAACTGCTCACCAAATGCTGCCTTGACTTCAGGCTCGTCTGGAGAGGAGCAAACCTTGAGGAATCCAGGCATTTTCAAGCAGAAAATTGCCATTTTCAGCCAAGAGTTTCAGCAAAGAGCATCAAAAAGCAAACACGATGAATCTTCATCAGTTGCACAAATAAAGACAGGAAAAGCTCGTCTACTCGTAGACAAGACCCTACTCGGCTTGGGTGTTCAAGATGTCAAAAAGTCATTAAAATTCTGCAACAAGCAACTGCCTGAGAGTCACAACTCAAGCATGTTCCATTTGGATTCACTACTTTCACACCACCAACTTCGGCATAGGTGGTGTTTGAATCAACGAAGGCATCCTTAGTCCGCTTGTGTGAATCATGTCTTTCCATGCACTTGCCAACAAACAAAATTACCTGTTGGAATATTGCTGCAACTGACAAATGCTGTCTGGTGTTTGGTTGGGGCAGATTTCGCACAAAAGGCACTGCTGCTGAGCCTCAGCCTTAAATTTGAGAATCAATACTCTCAGATGCTTTGACTTTTCCAAAGCTTCAGCATTCTGCCGGAAGCCCATCATCTTTCCACATAAGGCCTAAGCAGCAAAGCTGTGTGAAGAAATCTTGAGAAACGTCAGCATTCTTGCCCGGACCTGATAAGGATCTGAGACCATCTAGGGCGCTTACCACTTTGGCTTGAAGAAAGATACTCCACACAAGTAGAACCTTGGCTTGGAATCAAAGCTGGGCAAACGTGTTTCAAATGTTGTTTTTCACCACTTGCATAGTTTGATGATTTTCTATTATTCTTGATGGGACGTTTTCTGCAGGACCATCAATCAGCACGCTAGGTCAGGTGGGAGGAAACTCAATGAAATCAGGACCAGAAAGGCGCAACCAATCGGATCAATCAAGGCAAAATGCCTATACAACCATGAAAGAATTTCCACCACGTGGCGCATATAAATCTCAAGGGCAGCTTATTTTTTTTTGCCGTATTCAGGTACACAAAAAGATGACTGGAGCTCGCATCAGAAGAATATATTGGGAGCAAATTAGAAAGGTTAGTACGTGCTTCAATTCGATGTGAACTGGAACAATTTCTACCTCCACACATTTCGCAGAAACGACTATGTCGGCCCTACTAGCATCATTTCATTTATACCGAAAGATTATCTAAGTTCAAGATAGGTGCTTGATATCCAGCTATAAGATAGGTACGCTACGCTTGGTACGCTACGCTTGGTACGCTTGGTGCACTTGGTACGGTATGCTTGGTGCGCTTGGTACGCTTGGTACGCTTTGGCTAGGTACGCTTGGTACGCTTAGTAAGGTACGTTTGGTACGCTTACCAACCTTACCGACCTGACCAACCGTACCAGTGAACCGTACCACCGTACCGTACCAGATTAAGGGGTGGGTCAAGGGAGGGGCGTTTTGGATGTACCAATACTAAAAGTATTGGTACATCCAAAACGCCCCTCCCTTGACCCACCCCTTAATCTGGTACGGTACGGTGGTACGGTTCACTATATGGTTCACTGGTACGGTTGGTACGGTCGGTACGGTTGGTAAGCGTACCAAACGTACCTTACTAAGCGTACCAACCGTACCAACCGTACCGTACCACATGTACCAACCGTACCGTACCAAGAAAACCAAACCTACCAGCCGTACGTACCAGACATGATTGGATCTTACTTAAGGCCTCTACCACCTATCTTGAACCTAGCTAACCGAAAGATGCATGTTTTTCAAATAGCTCAATTTTTTAGGTCTACAAGGGATGTCTGTAGAAATTGATCCCTTTACTCTAGCACTCGCGAAAGGTCAATTCTCCCTGAGACTGCGCAACTTAATGTGTTCAACTCTTGGTCGATGCGACGTGAAAGCACGTTGTTTTTGGAATGTTTCGTGAATAACGGCTGAGTCAGAATTACTCTCGTATTGTTTGCAGCGCGCAGGTCATTCACATCAAGTCCAAGTATGCAGGTCTACTCAGCTTTAAAAGTACTAAAAGCGTCCAACTTGCTGACAAATCAGCAATGTGCCAGGTACACTGTCCAGCGCCTCCATGTGCCACCGCCACAACACTGTATATGTACGGGGTATGGTCATCCCGTCCTCATTAAGGATGCTGGGTATATATATATATATAAAGATGCATCTGTTCCATTTGTTCCACTCCGCAGCGATTTTGTCAGAAAATTAAATAAAAAACAAAACCTTCTCAGGAAACATCCATCCCCTTTCATCCAGACTCAGGCTATTGCCGGGCCAGACCCCAGGCGACATAGCCACATTTCCTTTAATCCCACCCAAAGTGCCAAGCCATACCTCAGGCCTTCAGGTCCAGGATTCGCATTGGAGGATGTTTCAAAAGGTTAAACTTACAAAAACCGAGCTGCTGCACAAACGTTTGGGCCTTTTTTGGCTCTTTTAGGTCCATGTCTCGTCTTCCTACCACGGCCCCCAGTCCTTCCAGTCTTTAAGACTGGAGGCTCAAGTGTTGAAAAATTTCGTTTCTGGGAAACTTGCGCAAAAACATTCAAATAAGGTTTCAGATTGGGATCAGATCTGGGCAACTGCATACTCGCAAGCATGCTCAGCCCCTCATTGACGTAAATACGGGCAGTTTTTTGGGAAGCCCATCTTCCTTGGATGAGCAATCGGTCTAGAGATTGATGCTTGGAAAACCAGTACGTGGCGCCCCCACGTCTAAGTGAATACGGGCGAAACTGATAGCTTTCAAGGTGGAGTGCGGAAACGCAGTCATTAAAAAGTTTGCGCCAGTGGGCGGCTGATTTCACAAAAGGCGTCGTGGACTGAGCCAGAGACTTCCATTGTTTCACCAACAGAACAGCCGGTTCAAATCCCAAAATGACGCTTTCAGCGGCACCTTGTCTTTTTCCGCCTTTTGTCAACCCCAAACTGACAACAACTTGTCTATCCTTGCTTCCACAAAAAAGGTGGCTTGATCGGAGCCCTAAGATCTCCCCGGTTCTCAACATGCAGTAAAATCCTACTAATAGCGAGACAGCAAAAGAATTCCAGCCCTTGAAGAACGCCCACCCCGCCATGCATGAACCACGTGATCAGGGATAGGTGGCGCTCGCGCCGGAATCTCATTGATTGACCAAGTCTTGAGAAGTCTCCACGCCCCTGGTAAATTGTGGCGTAGATCCGGTTGGAGATCCTGAAGCCCTGCCAGAGTGTCGCACGCCTGGGCTCGACCAGCTCCTGTGCTCCACAGGTATTCCACATAGTCAGCCACCAACCCGTCCAATTTAGACTTCTGTTGGGGTAGCACCAAGTCAGCGTTTTTGAGGTAGGTGAAAAAGTTTTGCACGGCAGCGGCATATCGTTTTTTCGTGGCAGGCTGTACAGTAAGCTCCTTCAGACTCCCTAGTCTACGGCGTTGGGCGGCACGGTCTTGGGGCAGGGCGGCTTCAAGCACCCTTTTTCTTGACATTCCGGAATTTGGATTTCACCCGCTGTCCCCACCTTGATGGACGATCAGACGGGTTGTCATCGGTGTGGACATAGGCCCACACGGCTTGCACATTCCCCGCCAAGACCAATGCATTCACCCTTGCCATAGTACGTCGGAGCCTTCGGGAACTACTGCGGCCACGCGATAACGTGTGCAAACACACCAAGCTATCGGTCAAGTGGACCAGCCTACATGCCACGTGCTGCTGCTTTTCGATTCGCCACCTCAAAGTAGTCAAAACTGCCCGCAGTTCCAAACTGTTGATGTGCTCGGCCCCGTGGCGCCACCGCCAGCCAGCAATGATCTGCCACTTCCACAATTTTGAAGGGACGCTGGCCCGCAACCTGTGAAATTTCGCCATCTGAGACGTAGGGGTGTTCAGTAGTATGTCTTCTCCCTTCACGGATACCAGATTCCCCAGCTTACACGCCAGGGCATAAGGATCAGTCTCACATGGTTTGCGACTGGGGTTGAGGGGAAGCCGCGACAATCGCCCTTGAATGAAAACATGCTGACCTGATGAACAATTATCCAGAATTCCCTGAGGATCCAAGCGACCAATCCAACCCAGCCATGAAAAGAGTTGCCCTAGCAGGAACCCTACTACCGGCACTGACCAGCTGTTTCCGAGCAGAGTCAAGCGGACATCGTTGTAGTCAGCCTTTTTGCGCTCCGTTTTCCCACAGCATGTGCTCGTGTAGTGAAGTGGAAACCCCATCATGAGCTCCCGCTCCGAGACGTCAGGGATCCTAAAGTCCCCGGTCCGGTTGACCAAGCAGTGGGTGTCCTTGTACTGGTAGGGCGGAAAGCGGAACCTGTCTTGGTGCCATCGCTCCAACTCATGCAAACTGCACTGCTGCACCCCCGCCGGCTTCCTCCCCGCACGGTCTCTCGGGCGACTCGTGGTAAACGTAGGGAAGGCCTTTTCAGGGTCCACCTTCCACCAGCCGGCGCGGATCACCTCCTCGGTCTTTTGGTTTCCTGACAGCTCCAATTTGACCAAATCACCGCTGTGGTCAAGCCGCGCATTGTCACACTCATCAATTTCCCAGCTTAGCCAATACAGGCGAGGTCTGTGACACCAGGTGAAGGACCCGGCATCGCAGAAGAGGGGATCTGCGCCATAACCCTGGCTCATTGTTGCGCGGTCCTGCTCATCCATAGAACCCACGGACTCCATAAGCGTGTGGACAGGGCACCACCGAAACGCATGCCGAACCAGGTCACGTACCCGCGGCACGTGCTGGAACAGGCTCGACCGCTCATCCCGCAAGGCTCCCCTGCGATCAGGGTTTAACCCCGACACACCTTGGCAGGGCGGCCCGGCCCCAATCAACACCAAACTGCATTGTGAAAACTGGCAGGCCCACTGCTTGACCATGTCCTCTGTGATATCTACCACTGAAGAAACGGTGAGGGTACCTGGATAGTGCGACTCCACGACTCTCTGGGCCGGCTTGTGGCACTCCACAGACACATAGCCCAACACCTTGACATTGATGACCTCCAAGGCAACCCTGAGCGCCCCGATCCCATCGAAGAGCCCGATGGCAAAGACCATCAGGTCGTCCCCGGGTTCAGGGACTTCTCCCCGCAGGGCACCACCACTGACCATTCCTCCAAGAGCCGTAAGCCTGGTCGAGGCACAGATTCCTTCCCCTTGGCTTGAGGCGTCACTGCAGGTCACCATGGGATGCATGTCTAATCTAAAATCAAGCCGCGCTAGCGGCAGCAACCCCAGGAAGCGCAGCACTTCCAGACGGCATGCAGCCGGCGTGGCCCGTACTCGCTTCTTGTAGCGGTCATAGGACAGAATGTGCATCCAGACTTGGTTGAGGCTTCCAAGGAGCGGCCGGCGAAACATGCTGATGTACACCAGTCCCCCGCAAACTACCTGCCATTGTCGCTGTGTCGCCGCCGCACGTTGACAAAGGTCAAGGGCAAGACTGAAGTACTTCACCAACTTAGCCTCACGGGGATAGGCGACTCCAGCCACCCCATCCACCGTTGCCCCTTGAAGTTCACATTGCGAGGATCGCTCGACCGCCTTCTTCAAGTTCCTTGGCACCCCCCATTTTTCGTACTCGTTCCTCAGGGACAATACCCCGGCGGCACAACTCCCTTCCAAACTCGTCACGTCCGTCTTGGAGACCTTTTCCAGAAGATCGTAGTTGTCCAGGTAGATTCTCCAATTTGTGCTGTGATGGCTGAATTCACGGTCCTTGCGGAGCTCCGCCTCAGGGCGATTACCCCCCGCGTCTCTGTCTCCTGCTGGGTCCGCACTCCATTTGGCGAGATTCCTGTGAACATGTTGGGCCAAGCTGACCGAGTTGGCAAAACCCATGGGTAGAACCCGGCTCGCCAGGTAGACCCGTTGCCCCGACAGGTCACTTGGCAAGATCTCGGGCGGTACAAGCTTATTGAAAGCAAGGAACTTGGTCCATGAAATGGGAACTGACATCACGTAGAAGAAACACTTCACGTCTTCGCTACTGACCAGCAACTGCTCATGGGGTTGTAAGAAAAAAGGACTCATCGTACTCCATGACGGCAAAGAGTCGATGTCCCCCGCCAGCGGCTTACAGAGCTTGTTCAAGGGGATAAGGTTCATTATCAACCTATACACCTCGACACCCTCAGGGGTGAACTCTTCTTTGCTGACCTCAAACATTCCATTGAGCAACGGGCCTTGATCAGTGCAAAAAACGTCCTCCTCGGGGATAAAAACACACACCCTGGAGGCTACCAGCCCTTGGCACACTGCCGGCCAGTCTTCGTCGGAAACCATGACCCTGGGCCTGGGTACACTTCCCCATTCGGCAGACGGTTTGAGGTACCTCTCAAAATGGAGTACATAGTCACGACACCCGTGACTACAAACCTCCGCAAGTGGGACAACACCCACCTCCTTCGGAAGCGCCGGGCCAATACTACTCCAAGTGAACCACTGGGCCACCTTGACTTCATCACCTTTATAGTCAATGGATCGAACCGAGAAAAACTCTGACCAGTTCACACCAGAGACAGCTTCCTTCAGATGTACCACTCTCTTGACATCCTTCAGGATCTCGCCCATACAAGCACGCTGCACATCATTCAGTTCATCTTCACTGGTCAAATCGCTTCCCCAAAACGAGTTCAAACTAACACAAACACACAAACACGAGAAAACTTCAAACTCAGTCAACCCTGGGTCAAAAACCAGCAAACGTTCCCTAGAGGTGGGCAGCGGAAATATCCCTCCTTTGCTTCCTCTGCCCGTGGTCTGGCTGCGGAGTGACAAAACCTCTAGGAGATACTGAAACAAATCACAACAGGGGTAAACCATCAATGCAAGTATTCCCAAAAACCTTTTTTCCTCCATGGCACTCGAGCGGCTGATGGTCGCCAGAAACGAAGTGGCCTGTGCTAAGGTCATTTGACCCTGTCGCCACTGCGATGGGCTCCGCCGCCACAGGCGATGATTGCTCCGAGGCTTTATAGGGCATCCCACCGGTCGCCAAGCCTCGAAGGGAGAGCTGCTTCAATTTCTCCGCCGGGGAGGCCACTGCCAATCCTCCCTCATACGGCGCATCCTCAATCTTTTCGCTCTCCACTGCGACCTCACAAGGCTCATCTGGCCTCGCACCAAAACCTTTGTTCAGGGCTATCTTCCCCGACATTGCTTCACTCCTCTCTTTCTCCCTGCTCAGCTGGCTTTTGGCGTGGAATCCTCTGGCTTCTTCCATTCTCCCTTCTTTCCTTGTCCTTTCCCTCCTTTTTTGCCATCTGCTCCACGCCTGTAGTCCTCTTTTCCACTGCCCTTTTTTCCTCCCCCCTTCTGCGATCCTAGGGGTCTGCCTTCGGGCAAAGAGGACATCCATCTTGTTTTGGACTCCTCGAACGCTATGCGCTGCGCTTCCCGCATCTCTGCTGCATCCGTGAGACTTGATTGCTCGCTTGGCAATAGCTCCAACTTTTGGGCTACCGACCAGTGGGTCCCGGATAGCGTTGATTCTGCACTCTTCACCCTCTGCAGCAGCAAGTCGAGGCATTGTGCCGCCTTCCCTCGCGCTAAGAGGTCGGAGGCAGCGCAAAGTGTGAGGAGCTCCCGACTCATCGGACCACTTGATTTCTTTTGCAATACCTGACGGTAGTATTGAACTGCAACCACTGGGAGAGTATTCACGCCTTCGGCCTCTCCCAGGGTCTGGAGGAGGTTCGCTCGCATCTGTCCCAGGGCTTGATTTGCCAGAACGCCTGGGTAGGCGTCGGCAATCCCCCGCACGCGAGCTGCTTGCTGGAAGATCGTCTCCGACTCCTCTTCCAACCGGGCTCCTGGTGAGCTGCCGCTCGTGCTGTCTGAGTCGCTGCTGGCTTTCTTTCCCTTTTTCTTCACATACCTCTTTGCCAACCGTAGTGCGCGGCTCCTCACTTTGTCCAAGGGATCTAGCCCCGTACCTGCGAACAACGCTTTTGGCTTTTTCTGGGATGCCTGTCTGGCCTTCGTCCCGTCCAGGGCTGCTACCCCGGAGACGGAGTCCCCGCTGGTGGAGCTCTTCTTTCTTTCTTTTTCTTTCTTTTTCTTTTTCTCCTTCTTTTCCTTCTTGCCCTTCTCTTTCTTCAGCTCGGCTCCAGTGCGGGGCGCGTCGGCTGCTTTGCGCCTCTCCTCCATCTCCGTGCGGAGTCTTTCCAACTCGTCCGGCCCCTCGAGGCCGGCAACCTTCTCTAGATTGTTCACCCAGGGCTCCTCCCCGTCGGCCGGCCTCTGCTTTCGGATCCGCAGTCCATGGACTAGATCTTCCGCGGTCTCCTCGTGGTTGCAAGCCGGATTGCAAAGAAGAACCCTCAGTTCTAACCTCGGCTGGCCACTCTGAAGCTTGAGAATGCCCTCGTCTGTCGTTCCCGTGGGTTTCAGCCTCACTTCTACGTGATTCCCCGAATACAGGGTTCCGACCACGGCTCCTGCGACCTTGCAGGTCCTGTGGAAGTATCGCGCTTCCTCCACCACCAGACCTGTCTCGCCGCGGAGCCAATCGAGGCTCATATCTCCCCCTCGGACTGTATGGCCGGCATCCCAAGCCACCTTCTGAGGCTGAGCGCGGTCCACATCCGGCGGAACCCCGGCAGGGCGCCTCAGGGTCCTCCGACCCCGCACCAGGGCTACACCTCTTGCTTTGGCTTTCCCGACTCCTTTTGGCTTTGCTTTGGCTTTCACTCGCACTTTTGCCATAGGATGCACTTTCGCTTTTGGCGCCATGTCAACCTTGGGTGTCTCTTCCGGTTCTTCCAGTAATTGACTCCTCTGAGGTAATGGTTGTACCCCTTCCACCTGTCAGGGTTCCTGTGCCCCGAGCTTCCGCTTGACCGTCCGTAGTTTCTGCTGTCCCGATCTTCCTTCGGTGGTGAGCCTGCTGGCTCTGGAGGTGGTCGGCTCCCGGCAGGGATTGGACCGTCGTAGCTCCTCCGACCTGCTGACCCTCTAATGGGGATCTGTCTCAACTCGAACCGTCTCAATCTCAGCCTCCTTGTCAGGTACCCCACTGCCAAAAGGCCCTGGCACACCAATCTCCACCAGGTCGCTAAGGGCTCCCGCGCAATTCCGCAAAGCGGTCAACACCGATCCTTCCTGGTACCGGCTTAACTTCCCACTTTGCAGCAGCCCGCCGATGCGTAGGTAGGTCTTGCAGCTAGAGCAAGTTGGAGCACCGTTGAAGCTATGGCAGTGGGGACAATCACCCATACATACAGTGACTTGAACCACAACACTAGGGAACACATATAACACATATGCATCTTAACCCCCGGGGTCGGGAATACATAGATAGAAGATCCCCACTATTCCTCACTACCTGAATTGATGACAATCCGACCCCAATACCGGCAGCTTACCCGAGTTTTGACAATGGCACACATGGCTATCTGCTAACATGAAAACCTCCCCTGGAACACAGTTTGGCATCTTCTGGCTATGTCGCATGCGCAGTGCAAAGCGTTCCCTCTGTTGCAACAACGTTCTCAGTTCTCAGCTGTTTGACTTGCGGCTTACAGAATAGCACATGCATACAGCTTTGGACAGTGCCAAATACAAGACAGCGTTCCAGGAGCTCGTCAACCAACAAGTAAAGAGAATAAGTGGAATAAACCCAAGGGTATCCGGTACCGGCAGAGTGTAACCAAGACCAAAGGTTTGATGCCCCCGGGAAAAAGGTAACCTCCTTGCCTAATAAAAAGCTTGTTAGCTTCAGGAACGTCAAACATGAGCCTGCCACGCGCCCCTTACGCTAAGTACTTACTGAAAGCCCTTCAGAAGGCCAAAATGTGCAAATGTGTACCACGTGTGTACCACATTGTACCACTAGTTCCTGTCATGGACTGGACACTCGGGATCCTTTCGATGACTAGTGTGCCAAGATGTCCCAGGTTCTGTCAATCCCACATGGACCAATATCCATGGCAAATACGCAAGTTTGAAAGACGACTATATTGCTTGCCTCGATGTTATCTTATCCAGTTTTGCATTCTTGAATGTTCAGGAAGCGTGCCTTGCTGGAATTGTTACTTGCAAATCTTAGAATCAGACTTCACCTAGCCCTCGAGGTATCGTGAATCCAAATGACACGCTGTGATATTGCAAACAGGGCACTGCATTGATTCTCATCACCTTAGCTTGTTCCAGGTACTAACAATCAGTTGCCTCGAAACAATTCGATTACAAATGGATGTCACACGATGTCACCCTTACTCAGAATGATGAAGAGGTTTTCCAAGGGACATCCACAGGTCGGCTTGCAAATCAAAGCAAGCTTCCTGCAGTTCTGGCAGTTCTGGCAGTATGAAACTTTTGGCCTTTCCAAATTTCCACAAGCGAACAAAATGACACCGTCCTGTGGATCCGACCTTCATTCAGGGAGCACTACCGTGTTGGAGTGCTTGAGCATGGGCGGCGGAAGACTAATTCTGCCGATCTTACAAAGGCTTATAGGCTACTTATAGGGATGCAAATTCCAAGCATCTAAGCATTAAGAATCTTACAAACAAAAATGAGTCATCATGAGTCTCAGTATGGAATCCAAAAACACAAAGTTGTTCAAGGATGCGAAATAATTTGATAGCGATTGCTATGAAGTCAGAGAATCGAGTGCCAAGACAAATCTAAGCCAATCCGCTGCTGTTGTTGGTCGATTTCAGGTCGTCATAAGCCATCAGCTGCAATCAGCTGTATTCTATAAAACGCATACGTGCCTAATGGTTTGGTATTTCTTATATTTTCTTATGACTTATGATTCTTATATAACTTAGACAACCGCAGGTGTCATTGGATGAATATATCCACCTCCCACCCTACAGCTCGCAGTTTTGACTCGAGTGGTCGGAGGGTTGCATCGGCCTTGCAAGCTCAGCCAGTTTGATTTCGCCTTTGGTCACTGGCTGAGCAAACACCCATAGGCAATTAAATGTCTGCCTTTTCCACCTCAAATGGGTGGGTTGGGTGAGGAAAGAAAGTCATGGCGCTGGTGGCAGGTCAGTCTTGAGCCAAAATGGCCCGACCATGCCACCAGCTTTTTGTCACTCAGAAAAACCTGCAGTTTTTCTTTTACGACAACCGCAGGTGTCATTGGATGAATATATCCACCTCCCACCCTACAGCTCGCAGTTTTGACTCGAGTGGTCGGAGGGTTGCATCGGCCTTGCAAGCTCAGCCAGTTTGATTTCGCCTTTGGTCACTGGCTGAGCAAACACCCATAGGCAATTAAATGTCTGCCTTTTCCACCTCCTTGCGCTGCGCGGACATTTGGCACTTTGTGCACGTCACGCAGGTTTCGTCTCCCTCCACGAACTGATAGTTCGCCAAGTAGTAATACCAGCCGCACGCGGTCCTCCACGTCGTCAAGGGAGAGAAGACCAAGGTTTTGTGGTTGAGATGGGTGACTTGATGCCGTGCTGATCGGACTAAGGGAGGTAGATACTTTGCGGACGTGTTCAGCTTGTCCTCCATAGTTCTCATAGCTCCTGAGAGGGCTTCGCTGGCTCCCTTCGTGTCCGCCTTGAACATTTCCAACTCCTCTTTCAGGCGTTGTACCTGTGCTTTGTCCACCTTGGACTCTACTTGTTTGCTCAGGGTCAGCATGTCTGACAATGATAGACCCTTCGTGCCCGTGTCCGCCTCCACGGATGTCTTCCCAAACGTGTTCCCTGCGTTGATGGCCATGGTCTCCAGCGCCTCTTGGGCATACTCTAGGATAACGTTGCTCTTCCATCGGCCGAGATAGGCTACCTGGCTGACTGCCCATCCTTTGCGAATGTTTTGCAGAGCGCCCGATCTCCGAGTGGAGTGACCTGACACTGCTTCTCCGTGCAATTTTTGCCAGTCACCCACGATCTCTGCTTTGGTGGCGGAGTCGCCCTTGTCGTTGAAGGCTATGTGGCCATCCTTCGCGCCCTTCAAAGCCGCATTGTTGACCAACACTTCCAAGACTGCGTACGGGCATCGCATGTCGCAACCGTCGCTGCAGATGCATTGTAGTGTCCTGGCCAGCCCTCTGCACTCTGAGTCCATTTTGGATTGTTCCCAGGTGATGGTGACCGTTCGGTTGTGCGCCTCAAAGCTGATGTTGGATGATCTCAACGCCGCCAACTCGATTTCCCTCATCATCCAATGTACACCGCATGCAAACAAATGAGCTGGAAGGCTGACTTTGTTGCCTCGTGGTGGCGTAACGTCCAAGAGTTGACGCGAAGCCCACTGATGTTCCGCCACTTCCACTGCTTTCTTGCGTGGGCCTGCGCCCCTTTTTGCTGCTGCCGAGCACAGCTTGTAATTTCGATCTAGTAAATGACTCCAGGGAAAGCCCTTCTCCACGTGCATATTCTTTGCCTCTGCCAAGTAGATTTGGGCTGACTTGTAACCCGCTTCCTTCAGCATACCCACCACGAACTTCAGTGCCGTAGGGGTGAGGGGCAATGTCCGCTCCCCTGCCTTCAGTATGTTCTCGACTGTTTTCCTTCTGGACGTTTGCGCTGCCCTGGATGAGTTGGCGTAGAAGTCCTTCTCCACCTTCTTCACCAAGTCCTCTGCCTTCTTCTTGGATGTTGCCAGTTTGACCGCATTCCGCCTGCACGGCTTTGGCAAGTTTCGAGCTGAAGGGCGCTTGGGGAGGTCTCTCCTTCTAGCGTTCCCTGACGGAGTTCCCCGCCCTTTTCTCGTCTTTCGGCTGGCGTCCACATGTGAGGGTGTCTGTACCACGGGTTCTTCCGCATGAGGTCTCGTCGGTGGTGGAAGCTTCAGGTCTGGCATCAAGACGTTCTGAAACCTTTGGCTCCAGTGTCCCAGCCTGAGTTTCTTGACCGGGGAAGCCAGCAATTCTTTCCACCATGGTCCTCCATTCTTCTGCGGCGATGGTGGACCACTCGCTGTAGGTGGTGAAGGAGGGAATTTGTGGCCTCCTTCACTCATTGTTGACCCCTCGCCCGCTGTGTTGTCTTCGCCTTGTTCCGAAACCATCGTGCCGAGCAGGTTGTTGGTGTCTTCCTGTCCTCCTCCATCTAATCCAGGACTAGGAAGCATTCCCTCCCCAGAAGTTGATGGTTTCTCCAGACCTCGGTTCTGTGTGTGACCAGGGGTGAAGTCGGCTCTGCACGTCTTGTCACAAAGGTCGCCAAGTCTACCCCCTCCCTGGGATACCGCGACCAAGGTAGAGTCGCCGTCGGGGATCGGCGCTGGTCGTTTAAGCAGGCGGAGGAGATGCCTGCTTGGATGGCTTTCTTGTTCTGCGTCGTCTGAGTTGCCCAGCAGGACTTGCAACACGCCTTCGTGCCGAAGATGAGGCATAGGAGGGTGATGCCGCTGACCGCCACCGTGATGTATGTCCATGGCGCCGGCGGCGGTAGCCAAATGGTTGGCACGCCTGATGGGGCGTAAACTGTTACCTCGGACATGATTTGAGCCTACATGAAGAACCGGAGCGGATGAAGCATACCGGACCTTAGATTAGAAGAAGAAGTGATATGAAGACAGCGTGAGAGGGAGGCAGAAGGCAAGCAATGAATTTTCCTGTCATTGCAAACTGCAAAATCTGTCAGCGCAAGTCCGGCCAAATTCCATTGGCTGCGACACTGGACGTCCACAACTCCGGGGCCAACTGCGGAGGCGGGAGGTAGTAGAAATTGTCCCCTCTTGGTGCTTCATCCTTATGCACCGGAACTCCCTTGAGTTCGGAGGGTACCTCTTCTTTTGCCATCCGGTCGGGCCTGCTCAGAAAATCGGCCACCGTGTTGGCGGCACCCGGAATGTGGCTGCATTTCAAGCCTTCTATGCCTATTTTCTCACACTGGATCGCCATCTCGGCCCCCATGAAGTTCAAAGTGGGGTTTGAACTCGCCAGCTTCTGCGACGTTGCCAGGGCGACCACACTGTCAGACTGTACCTGAAGCTCGACTTGGCAGGATGCAAGTTCCCGCTCCCAATGCTTCAAGGCAAGCAGCACCGAGAATGTTTCAGCTATCCCTTGTGAAGCTGATTGCTCCCATTTGTCTTCGAATTGGAGCAGCCTGGCATCCCGATGAGTGATCTTGGTGGCGTAGGCCTTGATGATGCGGCCGTTGACCAAGAGTACTGCGCCCGCGCCTAACGGGCTTGCGTCAGTCATGATGGTCGCCCTCGGGTACTTCGTGGTGCCCAGCTTGAACTTCCGGACGGGCGACGCAACAGCCACGGCCAGGAAACTGATCAGCCACAGTCGGGCCTGTTCCAGTTGCTTCACAACGAAGAGGCCTTCCTTGCTGCGAGTGTCGTCACGACTTCCTCGACGCTGATCCTCCCTGCCCGTGGCTATGTCGTTCAGACGGTCATGTAGAACTCTGTAAAAGACCGCCACCGTCCAGCGTGCTCTCGGCAAAATGCCGGATAGCCAGCTGAGTTTGCCTGCCGCTTGGCGTAGTTCCTTTAGAGGGGCCATTCCTTTGTTCTCCCAACCCTTCAGCAAGTCCGTGAGGTCCTTGACGAATTGTTCCGGCAGGCCCAATATGATGGCATCTTCATTGAGGGTGAACCTAACTCCGACCCATTGGACTTGTGTGGATCGGAGTCCTTTCTTCAAGGATACCTTGAATCCAAGCGCCCCCATCGTCGTCAGGATCATGGCCAGGACGGAGTTGCGCTCCTTGAGCGTCCCTTGGAGTACCCATAGCCCGTCGTCCAGGTACACCTGATGCTGAGCCTCTCCGCCCTGGGCCGTGGATTGATGGCATCTCGCTAAGCAGGAGGCTATCCTCGACCATAAGAGGGGTGCTGTTTTGTACCCGAAGAGGAGGGCGCAAAACATCACGAAGCCATCGGTTTTTGGGTTCGGTGCCAGTGTGTGCGGCAATTCGGCTTCCTTCACCGCCAACGACATGAACGCGTCGCTGATATCTATCACCGCCAGCTCCCTGGAATATCCTTCGTCTGCTCGATGAACTCGACGTTGGGCATAGTTGTTGCGGATCATGTCCACCGCGTCCTTGGGCCGGGGTAAGACGAGCTTTTCTGGAAGCTGGGCCTTCCTGTTTCCTCCTGACCTTCTGAGGTCCAAGATAATCCGCCTCTTTTTGCCTTCTGGCTTCTCCTTGATGATGAGTCCCAACTTGCTGATCGTGCCATGGCCCATCTCGTCTTGCACCACCTGTTTGGACACGTCTGCAAGATAACCTTCTTGCCGATAACGATCGAGTTCGATAAGGGCGTCGTCGAGGTTGTCCGAGACCGAGGAGTAGTTGGTAACCTCGCCTCTTCCAAGTTGTGCTGAAGCGTCTTCCAGCTCTCTGCTTGACTGATAGTCCATGTTGGATTCATCGTTGTACTTGGGGAAGATGCCTCGCACCGGGATCTCGGCCTCGATGCCCAGCGGCGCTCCATTTCTGATCCAATCTGGTATGACGTCATCCGGATCACTTGCTCTGGTGATCCACGCCTCGAAGAGCTCCGGGTCCAGCGGCGAGAGGTACTTCCACCTTGGTTTCATTCTGACGCTGGGAGGTGCATTGGCTCCCAACGTCTTTTTCATGGCGGCCTTCCACAACTGCACCACGTCCTTGTCCAGCGTGCAGTCTGGGGTTCCGTAGGCTTCTGCTACGCCCGTGGCCCCAGGATGCCTCTTCTCGAAGGCCTCCCAAGCGGCTCGAAGTTTCAGCCCCAGCGTCAAGGCGGTGGAGCGTCCCAGCATGACCTTGTAGGGGTCCCTCATTCCCCCAATGTATTCCGCCAAGGCTGGGTCTGCGGTCTGGGCATTGGACTTCTTCAGCATGTCGTATTTCCCATCGCCGCCTTGCCATTCCATGTCTAAATGTTTTCTGATGTCCGCAGCCGGCTTGAGGTTGACCTTTTCCTTCTGCTCCTTGCGTGGTGCATCTGGTGTCACAGGTCTCCTTCGCTTTCTTGGGAGTGGAGTTCGATCCTGAGGCCTCTGATTCCTCCTTGGGCTTCTGTCGATCTTGTCCATGGTGGCTGCTTTGTATTCCCTTCTGGTAGGAGGACTCATCGAGGGAAAACGGACGGTTCTCCGAGGCGATCTCGACCTTTCTTTGTCGTTGCTTCCTGTTGCACTCTTGTCCATCGATTCCTCCTTCTTGACTCCTTGTCCAAAATTCTCATCTCTGTATATCACCTTGGCCTTCGCCGCGTCGATGGTGCCCTGGAGACTCGTCATCCTTGATTTCAAGAACTCCTCCTTGCCCATCAGTTTCAACTGTCCTATGGCCAGCTTTGCATACTCCCTGCATAGTTCGCCGGGGTAGGTTGCCGAGGCCTTGGATCTCTCTTGACCCACTATCGTCTCATGGTTCGATGGGTCTCCACAACGGCATTCCCTTCGGAGGGTTCCCAGCCCATGCAGTGAGCCCGCAAACATCTGTGGCTTGAAGTGCTTCTGGCCGATGGGTAGCCTGCTTTCAAAACCGCACGTGTTGAAGACGACCTCATAGTGCGGTGCGGTGTTCTTGAACTTGTCCATCTCCCCGAGCTCCCAGGCTGACAAGTGTCCTTCCGTGTTGCTCGGAGGAGGGTTTTCCAAAGTGGCCACGGGCGGTATCTTTGTTATTTGCGGCTTTTGGCACACCGCCGTTGCCATGTCAATGGCACGACAAGCCATGATGGTGCCTCGGTCGCACTCGGCTTGCTCTGCAGCTGTGTTGTCCTTCATGCCATAGGGCTCTGCGACCGACCGAACAGGTCCTGGCATGTTGCGAGCTTTCCTCAACCTGAGACGGGAAAAGGTTGAACATGGAAATCCCGCATGATAAGCATCGATGTAACCCCTTCTGGCCCACCTCAAATGCGTCGTGTATGGTTCGTCATCGAGAAGATCTCCTGTGCCTTTTTCTTTCTCGATGCTGTAAGCTTTGAGCCTGATACCTTGTGCCAAGGCCTCATTTCTCATCGCCGTGGTCAATGGGTCCTCCACCCCAGCGTAGTGATGGACGAAAATGAAGACCCGCTTCGTGAAATACTCCTCCAATGTGTCAGCCTGGAGTGGAGTCTCTTCCTCTGGATCTTCATTACCTTCGTCGCGGCCTGGTTCTTCATCTTCGGACTCATAGGTGTAGGTGTAGGAGGCAGGGCTCTTCACCGTCTCGGTTGCTTCTGGCTTCACGGGGTTGTTGGCTCCCGTGTTGTCCCCTGTTGTGTGGGACTTCACTCTTTCTTCGTGCAACTCCGGCTTGGATGCCCTGGGGAGTCGCACTTCGTGCACCTGTGGAGCCTCCTCACCTTTGCTGCACATTGTTGCCCCGGTGCCAAGTCCCCACATGGTGCGTTGCCATTGTTCCAAGCGAAGCATTTTTGCCCTGCGCTTCCTTTGCTCCCTCCTTTCTTTCCTCCTTGACCCTTTGTGGGCTTTGAATCTTCTCCATCTTCTCCTCCTCCTTTCCCCCACTTCCTCTTCTTTCTGCGATTGCTCGGACCCGGATTTGCCTTCGTGCCCGAGTCGTTCTCCATGACAGGCGCTATGGCTGAGATGCCTCCCTGCAGCGCGTTGGTGGCTAGTTGTTCTGCCGGTGTTTTCGGTACTCCATGGCTTCCCGACGCAATCCATGCCAGTGCCGGGGTGTGCACCTGCGTCCTCCAGAACGTCTCGTCCTTGGCCAACATGTTGTACACATAGTCCCAGGGTCTGTTCTGGTTGAAACCTTCTGGGTGACCTTTTCCCGCCCTGATATCCATCATGATTTTGGATCGAAGGCGGTTTGACTGAGCAGATCGTGCCACCTCGTCCGCCGCATAGATCAAGTGCCAAGCTGCGGGATATGTACGGGATAGACGCTCTATAGCCATCTCGTACCCGTGCAATGCAGCCAAACCCACAGCGTCCAGCATGATGAGTGAAGTCCTCAGTAACCTGAAACAGGTTCGCCACTGGGAGAAAGTTGCAGGGCCTGGCAACTCCTTCGTCGTGTAGCCCGTGGAGGTCAGGACATACGTTCTGAACTTCGAGGCCTTCAATGCTCGATGGCCATAAGGCACGTAGATGGCGAAGTCCACGTAGGGGGCGGTGTCCTGTGTTGTCAACCTTCTTTGGAGGGCTGAGAGCTGCTCCAAAGTAGGGTCCTCCTCCTCCGGCGGCCAGCCCCCCACCGTTGCCAAATACTGTTGGTACCAGGCAGCTCGGGCATCTTCTCCTTGCACGATGAACTCGCCGTCGTCCCCCTGGTCTAAGACCTGGGTCATCTTCATTTTCCTCTCCAAACTTACCGGAGGTGGTGCCATCGTGCCGATCTGGTTGTCCTGAACCTGTTGACCGAAGGGTGAAGTCTCCCTCCATGAATCCCAGTCGCCTCCCCCTCGTGTATGCTGCATTCTCCGTGCCAAATTGTAAATAAGTCCCACATGGGAGGCCTGAACAGCAGATAGGGGGTTTCCGTCCAAGAACCGAGCTCTTTCCAGCGCTGCTGAGATGACGTTGCCCGGAAGTGCAGCTAGAAGCCGGGCATCCTCTCCAGGGTCTCCAGCCACTGAAGTGAAGGCTGTCCAAAGGTCGTCGCCCAGGTTGTAGTGAGCCCGAAGTTGAGAGATCGTCGTCATCTGCATGGCGTTCGACTGGCTCGGAAACATTGTATCGAATTGGAAGGCTGACCGCACCTACCAGGCCAATCCACAAAAGAAAGAAAGTCATGGCGCTGGTGGCAGGTCAGTCTTGAGCCAAAATGGCTACCCGCAGCTGCTTCCCAAAGCTAGTCCCCAAAGCTGCTCCCCAAAGCTGCGGTTTTTCAAAGCTGCCGCGCAAAGCTGCTCCTCAAAGCTGCTCCTCAAAGCTGCTCTTGCTTCCCAAAGCTGCTCCACAAAGCTGTTCCCCAAAGCCGCTCCCCAAAGTTGTTATCGAAAGCTGCTCCGAACAGCTGCTCCCCCAGGCTGCTAAAGCTGCCCCCGAAAGTTGTTTCCGAAAGTTGCTTCCCAAGTTGCTTTCTAAAGCTACTCCCCAAAGCTGTCGTTCTTGAAAGCAACTGTTTCAACTGTTCGTCAATGCTGCTGCAAAGCCGCAAAGTTGCTCCCCACACTTGTTCCCAAAAGCTGCTCTCCAAAGTTGCTACCGAAAGCAGCGTCCCAAAGAAGCTCCCCAAAACAGCACGCACAGGCTAAGGAAGCAAGCGCAGTGTGTGCGGTAGAAGGCGGGTGCAGCAAGCGGGCAGTCTCGCAGAGATACGTGTTAGAAAGAGCACAGAGACAATAGCGCAGAAGCTAGGCAAGCCAGGGCGGTAGCTCGCACGGGGTCGGGACGGATCTAGGGGGAATCGAACCAAAGGAGAATCGAGGGAGCGTTGTGGGATTGCGACACGGGACCAGGACTGGGACCGCAAAATAAAAATCCCAAAAAAACGTTCCTATTTTGGAATTCCCGTTTTTCCAAATTCCAAAATAATCGGATTATTTCGGTGCCATTGGGGAGTTCCTAAAAAGGTCGAGCAAAGAGGAGTATTCGCTATGTCTTCATGCAGACTAAAGATGTATTCGGCCAACAGTCTAAAATAATTGACGTTTTTCGGGATTTTCGGACCAGCCGATTTACGCGCGCGGTAGCACCCTTACCGTAATATTAGTAGTAACAATTAGAATAAGTATATTTGTCATATAAATAAAATATGGTTTTTAATAAAGAACTTATTTTTCATAATTTAAACAAATATATTATTCAATTTTAATCATTAGTAATTTTTTGAATACCTAGGATCAAATTATCCGGCGGGGGACCGACTATGAATTTTAGTTCTTCGATATGTTTTTCTTAATAGTTTCAATTTTTTGTATTTTATAAATATGTTATTTCTAATTATTATTTGGATTCTTTATTTTATTCGTTTTTTGTTGCTTCCAATTGAATTGTTTGAAGCAGGTCGACTATTATGGGGATTCAGTTATGTGTTTATCGTTGTTTTGTACAGCCTGTCAGTGTGTACTGACCGAAATCAGTTTTGCACACTTCAACTGTGGGCTGTCCAACCTTGGAGTCAATGCGGAGGATTTCAGGGCCAATCGTAGGATATCGTAGGCTTGTACTTGAGACAATAGACTGAGTTCGCAGCATAGCCAGGCGCACATTGGGCGCTGACCTGAAGTTACTCAATCGATTCAAGCATACAGCACAGATCGTAGAATTCCTGCATTTCTTGGAACCCCAAAGCACGTAAACTTTGAACTGCACACAAATACTTGCCTTGAACTTGTGCGCTAGCAAGTTTTTCTCCTGAACTAGGTAGCCTTGCAACAGTAGTTGCTGCAGAGCCATTGACAAAATAGAGCTTGTACCAAGAGAGACAATAAATCTGCAACTTAAAAATTATATAATGATTACAATGGAAATTGAACGCATTAGAACAAATTATGCACACATGGCAAAGTGACAGTAGCAACGGCCACCTGTCGCATCATCTGGCGCTATGCTTCTGCTTGCTGCAGCCTTGCAGGCCTCGCAAATCTTTGAACCACACATTTTGAAAATAAGAAACAAGTGGTAGATTCTCAAGCACCTGAACACGAGACACTGCTGGGATATCAAGCCATTCTGGGGGGCAGCTTTGACAACTAGAAAAGCTCAGTCTAGTAGAGTCTAGTTAGTCTAGTGAGCATGAAGGGCGTGTCAAGCAGGTTCGCAAGAATCTCTGCATTTTTTCTGAGCTCAAAGCTGTATGTTTGATTGTGTGCGGAGCACGCAACAGCTTTCGGCGTTGAATCTTGGGCAAAGCCGCTGGTACACGATACCTACAAGTCATTGCAGCAGATCACCCGGGAAGAAACATCTCGTTTGGTCTTTCGTCATCTTTTCTAGTCACCAGAGACTGGACTTGAAGGAAATTACGGACGAAGAAGAACAATGAGTATGACCAGGTGTAAGAATGCCCTTCAAAGATAGTCTACGGCATTTGCTTTGTACCTTTTCCGGCACTCTGTCAAATCCCCTGTGGGAGCAGAGGAAATATGCCGTTTCACGAAATGCTGGGCGGCTTGCAGAACGAATGACAATCCAGCCAATCAGTCTGGGTTTTCTAAAAATTGCAAGGGCTTTCACCGCAACAATTGCATTCCAACTATGCCAGAGCCGACCATGCACAATATAAGCAGGAGCCGACTAGATTCACTTCGCAAGCCTGGACACAGGACAAGGAAAACAACTATCAATCATCAAGGCATAGTTGCGGAAAAGAATCCGCTACATCAAAGTTAGCAATGTCCAATTTGTTCTCTGTGACCAGGTAGCCCACTGTGTTGACCTCATTCCACAATCACTGGGATTCGCGGAAAACAAAAGTGTGTGCGTGTGTGAGTTATAATTAATTATGAGTGTTGAACGAGTGACCTCTACCACTAACAAAGTATGTTCTTCGTGGTCTACCCGAGTCACTGGGTTCAACGATTCTGTGATTCACCCTGTGCTGCACTCGTGCGCTTGCAGGAGCTGAAAACCTTGCATCTGCGCGATCGAAGCATGTTTCTGAGCAACCCCTGAAACGTTTATAGGACATTTATAGGACATTTATGGGACATTTGTAGGACAAATGTATGGGACATTTATAGGACATTTATGGTACATTTACATTTATAGGACATTTATGGGACATTTGTAGGACATTTATGGGACATTTATAGGACATTTATAGGACATTTATAGGACATTTGTAGGACATGTATAGGACATGTATAGGACATTTATAGGACATTTATAGGACATTTGTAAGATTATGGGACATTTATAGGACATTTATGGGACATTTATGGGACATTTATGGGACATGTATAGGACATGTATAGGACATTTATGGGACATTTATAGGACATTTACAGATCATTTATAGGACATTTATAGGATATTTATGGGACATTTATAGGACATTTATAGGACATTTATGGGACAGGACATTTATAGGACATTTGTAGGACATTTATAGGACATTTATGGGACATTTATGGGACATTTATGGGACATTTATAGGACATGTATAGGACATTTATGGGACATTTATAGGACATTTACAGATCATTTATAGGACATTTATAGGACATTTGTAGGACATTTGTAGGACATTTGTAGGACATTTGTAGGACATTTATAGGACATTTATAGGATATTTATAGGATATTTATAGGACATTTATAGGACATGTATAGGACATTTATGGGACATTTATAGGACATTTACAGGACATTTATAGGACATTTATAGGACATTGATAGGACATTTATAGGACATTTGTAGGACATTTATGGGACACATTTATAGGACATTTATAGGACATTTATAGGACATTTATAGTACATTTGTAGGACATTTATAGGACATTTATAGTATGGACATTTATAGTACGGACATGTATAGGACATTTATAGGACATTTAACGGACATTTATAGGATATTTATAGGACATTTGTAGTACATTTATATAGGACATTTATAGGACATTTTTAGGACATTTATAGGACATTTATAGGACATTTACAGGACATTTGTAGGACATTTCTAGGACATTTATGGGACATGTATAGGACATGTATAGGACATTTACGGACATTTCTAGGACATTTGTAGGACATTTATGGGACATTTATAGGACGTTTATAGGACATTTATAGGACATTTGTAGGACATTTATAGGACAGGACATTTATAGGACATTTGTAGGACATTTATAGGACATTTATGGGACATTTATGGGACATTTATGGGACATTTATAGGACATGTATAGGACATTTATGGGACATTTATAGGACATTTACAGATCATTTATAGGACATTTATAGGATATTTATGGGACATTTATAGGACATTTATAGGACTGAAGGAAAGGGTCTCTCTTCGGGATACGTCGAGTGCATCGCTTCGGGCTACGCCTCATGCATCGCTTCGGGATACCTCAACATCATCATCATCATGACCCTCATCATGATGATCATCATCGTCGTCGTCAACAATAGGCATATTTCATCACCATCATTCTCATCATCATGTTGACCATCATGTGAGCATCATCATCATCATCATCATCATCGTCATCATCATCACCATCATTATAATAATCACTATCATCATTATCATCACCATCATCTTCATTATCATTGTTATAATCAGGTTCTTCTTCCGAGTATTATTCATCTTCATCCTCATCATTATCATGATGATGATAGCGCCAGGAGAAGATGTGATAGCGTGAGATCGTGTTGGTGTGCAGGTGCAAGAGAAGATCGGCTCCCCATGATGTAAGAAGAATGGCTCCTCCCCACCCCCCCAACCAAACCCTAAATGGCTGAGTCAAGTAATGATGTAAGAAGAATGACTCCTCCCCACACCCCCAACCAAACCCTACATGGCTGAGCCAAGTAATGATGTAAGTAGAATGATCCCTCCCCATCCCCCCAAAAACCCTAAATGGCTGTGTCAAGTCATTCTATAAGAAGAATGATCTCTCCCCATCCCCCCAACCAAACCCTAAATGGCTGAGTGAAGTAATTAGATGATAAAAACGATGTTTTCCGTGTTGCCAAAAGTAGTGAAATCCGTGGTGCCCAAAGTGAGCGTCCAAGGTGTGAGGAGTGTGTGATTTGAGGATGTTGCCTGAAGTGATGCGTTTGGTGTTGCCCTAAGTGATGCGGGTACCACATTTATGGGACATGTATAGGACATTTATAGGACATTTAATGGACATTCAATGGACATTTATAGGACATGTATAGGACATTTATGGGACATTTATGGGACATTTATGGTACATTTATGGGACATTTATAGGACATTTATGGGACATTTATGGGACATTTATAGGACATGTGTAGGACATTTATAGGACATTTATAGGACATTTATAGGACACTTATAGGAAAATTATAGGACATTTATAGGGCATTTATAGGACATTTAATGGACATTTATAGGACAGTTCTAGGACAGTTCTAGGACAGTTCTAGGACAGTTCTAGGACAGTTCTAGGACAGTTCTAGGACATTTATAGGACATTTATAGGACATTTATAGGACATTTATAGGACATTTGTGGGACATTTATAGGACATTTATAGGACATTTATAGGACATTTGTAGGGACATTTATAGGACATTTATGTATAGGACATTTAATGGACATTTATAGGACAGTTCTAGGACAGTTCTAGGACAGTTCTAGGACAGTTCTAGGACATTTATAGGACATTTATAGGACATTTATAGGACATTTATAGGACATTTATAGGACATTTATAGGACATTTGTGGGACATTTATAGGACATTTATAGGACATTTATAGGACATTTATAGGACATTTATCGGACATTTATAGGATATTTATAGGACATTTCATGGACATTTATAGGACATTTGTAGGACATTTATAGGACATTTGTAGGACATTTATAGGACATCTATAGGACATTTATAGGACATGTTTAGGACATTATAGGACATTCAGGAATTTCCAGGGATTTTTTTGTCAAAAGAACAAACTCCTGAGATAGGGGAGTCATGCAGGAATGTCTTTGTCCAACCATACCATGATGCTGAGCTACCTCAACCTTGATCAATCGTCCGTTGGTTTATGTTGGGGTTGGGTTGACACAGGGGTAATGTTCTGCTACAGGCATGGCAAACTCGCTGGCAGGTGTGATCTCAGTGAGCCTTACTTTGACCTCACTTTGCTCGCAGGTTTTCCAGCCCAGCTTCTCCCAAAAATGTCAAGATGCATTGGGATGGCTAGAAAGGAAAGACAAGCGAAAGCTATTGGCCATATCGACATCAACCGAATGATCGCAACAGATTTCAATACATACCTTAAGTGTGATCCACAGAGTCAGGGCCAGCTTTGGGAGACAATGTCCCTTGCTTTGCGCACAACTAAAGAAACCAAGCATTAGCCAAAATATGCCCAGATTTGTTGTTTCTGTGGTTTGGGGCGCGATTCTATCAGCGTTCATCTTTCTCCTATCTGCTTTCATTTTTCTCCTATCTTTCTCCTATGCAGAGCTCAAAAGCATAAAAATGCAAAGGGACTCATTTCTGAACGGCCACCTGGCCACACAGAGCCAGCGTTCATATCATTCCCAATCTTTGTTACCACAAATCTCTTTATGCTTTGACTTGCCAAGTAGCAGGTGCTTTGCAGTACAGCGCAGGTGTGCAGCCACTGAGCAAAAATGCACCCTAGGTTGTGAAAAAGGTGCAATTGCCACTTCTGCATATCCAGTCAGTCATGTCAACCATTGTCACATGGAAATTTTGCAATGCTGCACGCAGCCAAGCATCTAAATGCTTGCTGCAAGCAGTAGCAACAGGCGTACCCTCGTAGCCTTTGTTGCACCTGTAGCGTCCCAATGGCCATGTTGCATCTGTTTAGTTCAGAGGATGATTCGACAGACCGGGGAGCGAACGTCACTGACACAGCAAAATGATCTACGAAGAGGTTGTTCTCTGACACCAAATAGCCTCAATGCATCTTCGGTAAGCAGTTGGTACCAGCAGCGTATCTGTCCAACAGACCAGATTGATACAAGAAATTGACATGGACTTGGCTTCGCCCATCACTAAAGCCAGACCAAACCGCACCAACAAGAGCAGTCAAAAATGTAGTGCGAGGCGGACGGGGTCCACTCCATTTGCTTAGCTCTTGGATTCCTTCACACTGGCAAATTCGCCAAAGCGCGCCCATTTCTGCCAAGATACCCACAGTGCTGTCTGGGGCGATGCAAACTGCCTTTCTTCCGGAATGACAATTCCATGTCTGCAAGACAATTAATGATGATGGTAAACCCAACACAAGTGCAATCTAGCCGAAACGGGACAAACCTCGCAAAACTTTGGACATCTTTGGACCAAACTCGAAACTCGTGCCGAATGTATAGCAAAAGCTTATTCCAATTGGTCCCTGAACTCCAACTGCTCAAAATGCTGCACGGACTTCAAATTCTTCCGCAAGGGCCTTTCCCTTTCTGCGTTGCTTCAGGGCACGGCAGCGGCATCACACGTTGCACATGGCACTCACAGCGGTGGCACCAATGGCAGTGGCAGTGGCAGCAGTACCAGCACCCGAACAGAGACGCAGTCTGGGGAAAGGGTAGACTGCCAACCCTCTTTATCTATCTTTCTCTATCTTTCTCTATCTTTTACCTATGTGGATCCCAAGACCTACCACTGCCTACAACCAGGGAAAAAAATTGAAAAAAGGCATATTGATCCAACAAATCCCAGCCTGGATTGTTGTTGTAGATGTTGATGTTGTCGTGGTGACGGTGCTAGTGGAGGTCGTAGTAGTGGAGGTGACTGTCGATGTGCTTGTGGTGGTAGTGCTGGTTTCTGTAGTGGTGATGGTCGTCGTAGTCGCAGTCGTTGTGGATGTCGTTGTAGCAGTGGTACTTGTGGTGGTGGATGTTGTGGTTGTGGTTGTGCTGGTAATTGTAGATGTTGATGTTGTTGTGGTGCTTGTTGTCGTGGACGTCGTGGTGGTGCTGGTGGCTGTGGTTGTGGATGTAGTTGTAGTGCTTGTGACTGTCGATGTTGATGTTGTGCTGGTGGTGGTCAGTGTCGACGTTGATGTGGTGGTTGTAGTAGTGGTCAGCGTTGATGTGGTTGTCATCGTGGATGTACTTGTTTGAGTTGTGCTGGTTGTGCTAGTAGTGGTGGAGGTTTCCGTTTCTGTAATAGTGGTGGTGCTTGTTGAAGTTGTCGTGGTGGAAGTTGATGTGACAGTAGAGGTGCTTGTGGTTGAGGTTGTGCTGGTGGTGGTCTCTGTAATTGTTGTTGTAGATGTGGTAGTGGTCGTTGATGTACTTGTGGATGTAGATGTGCTGGTTTCTGTAGTGGTCTCCGTTGAAGTTAGCGTTGTCGTGCTGGTCTCGGTCGAGGTAATTGTCGTCGTTGTGGTTGATGTTTCTGTGACTGTAATGGTTGAAGATGTTGTTGTGGATGTCTCTGTGCTGGTTGTAGTTGTTGTGATTGTCTCTGTGCTGGTTGTAGTTGTTGTGATTGTCTCTGTCACAGTTATTGTTTCCGTGACTGTCGTGGTGGTGGTGGATGTCTCTGTTTCGGTAGTTGTGGTTGTGGATGTGGTGGTGCTCTCACAGCCCTCCACGATATAGGCTTCGGCATCTTTGGTGCACTTCCGAACCTGCGCAACTCCTGTGTAGCCGTCGGCACAATTCGCTTGCACATCGAAGCCTTTCAAACTCAGATTGTGTTCCGTCAATGCATACCCTGTACTGTCGTCCGGAGAGCTGCATTCATCGGCTAAACAGCCTTTCAGCTCATACCTTAGATACAGTATTTCGAGAAGTATATAGCACAGAACATGCTGATAACATCCAACATCCAAGCACTGTTGAGCGTCTTAAGCACTGTCCTTTCTGTCCTTTTTGTCCTTTCTTGTTTTCGTGACATTGGTCGGCACTTGTTGCGCCGTGGTTTGGGCTCGGGGCGCGCTTTCTCAGATGTTTGAAAGACTGTCTGAAAGTGCATTCTACGGTGTGCTTAGCTACCCAGAGGTCTATCCTAAGGTCACATCCATGCGCATTCAAAAGAATGTCCAAACATTGTACCTGAATGGTATCCCAGTGCCAAATCATGTCCAGAGAAAGACTCTAGCCGATGCATCAGCCAACACAAAAGGATCTGTTGGACCAAGCCACGTCTCACGACTTGTGGCACACATCACAGCAGTTGCATTCCCATGAAAAAGCGGTGCACACTGTGCAGAAATCTTAAAGTCACTGGCGGCTGTGCTGGTTTCTGTCCTCAGCACATGGATTTTTATTCTGAAAGGAACAATGATGCACCGAATTTAGAATGTTAAAACATGGACATGTCAACAGGACCAAGACAAGTGTGACTGGTTTTATGAGTTCATATACTCCTTTTCATCGGACTCGTTTCAGCTGATAAGGAGAATCTCCACTTCAGCTGAAGTAAGCTAACAAAGGACCACAAAGACACATGAACGCTGACGTGAGGGTCAGCAACTGGAAAGAATGCTCTAAAGGGCCGGCCAAGCATCAACACATACCCAGAGGTATCGGAAGGCGTTTGGCATACGATCTCTTTGCATCCAGTGAGCTTGAAAGGTTCATTTTCTTTTTCACAGGCCTGGAGAATATTTCAGAAGCAGATCACAACTGCAGCTCACCAGTTCTTGCTTCTAGCACGAAGCTAGTCACTTCAACTGCTATTACTGGCTGCTTTCTGAGCTCCTCAACATACAGCTAATCATTAATCCAATGGACAGGTTTTAGAGCTACGTTGTGACTTGTCCTGCTTTTGAATTGCTGTCACGCCATGTCACGCCTCTACATTCGCATCGCCTTCATAGCCATCAGCGCATGAAGCTGCAACAGCAAATGTTGGCACCTGCATTCCGCACCCATCCATGAAGCGGTTGGGGGTGCTGATGACACACGTATACAACGACGATGTAATTTCAAGCATGGTATCATGTTGGCCACTACTTGTATATATAAAGTATGTGTATATGTATATATATATATATCACATCACTCCATGCTTGTGAACCATGAATCCATGAAAGAACAAGCAGAAACACTCCAAAGCAAAGACAGACTGCCTCCAAACTTGTGACAGTCAGCTTGTATGCTTTGTCCTCCGTCTCTGAACACACTACAATTGTTGTTGTAGTTGTGGCTGTGGTGGTGGAGGTTGATGTACTGGTGGTTGTTGTTGTAGTGGTGATAGTTTCAGTGGTGGAAGTTGTCGTTGTCGTCTCTGTCGTGGTTGAGGTGCTTGTTGTAGTGGTCGTGCTGGTCTCTGTTGTGGAGGTTGAAGTAGAAGTGGTCGTCAGGGTGGTCGTGCTAGTTGTGGTCGTTGTAGTGGTGATGGTGGTTGTCGTGAGCTCGCAGCCAGACAGTTCGTATGGTTTGCCATCCCCTGCGCACACTGTTGCTTCCGGCTCACCAAAGTAAGGCTTCTTGCCTGGGCAAACGTGCCACGATTTGATTTCAGTGACACTGACACTTCAATTCAGGATCCCTCTGCGCCATCAGTTTACATCTGACCAGTCGCCATGAAAACTTTACATCTGCTCCCTCAACAAAAAACTCAAACAAGATGATTCAAGACCAAGTATGGCAAGATTTATCAAACATCATAAATTAGAGGATGGAAAATCAAACCAGCACTGAGAGATGGTGGATCGGAAACCTAGGAACAGATTCAAAGAGGGCGCGCGATTGGCTTCTTGACTATTGTTTGTTTATATATGTATATATATTTAATTGGTTTGTTTCGTTGTCACATTTATTGATTCACTAAGTCACTACTGAGTCATTTGTCCATGTACTCAATCATTCGTTCAACCAGTCATTTATCAAATCGCTCCTCTACTATCCTCTTCTCATTGACGCATTCTCTGTTCATTCGATCAGTCGGTCAGTAATTTCTGTCATGTCATTTCATCTCTGATGAGTTCAGTTCACCCTTCACTATTGCACTCGATCACTGATTTTGCATTTCTTCGGTTCTGCTTTATTTCATTTTAAATCATGTCACTTCATTCCTTTCTGATGCACTTCTTCGCTGATTTTTCGATTCTCATATTCGTTCATCTATCCATCATTTTCTTCTTTCGTTCATTCGTTCGTTTATTCATTAATTCATGCACTAGTTCATGCATGCGCTCATTTTTTCGTTCATCCACTCATTGATTTGTTCCTTCCTTGGCTCATGTGTGCAATCATTTGCACGACCCTTTTCTCACTCATTGGTTCACTCGTACGTTCGCTGATTCATGTTTTTGCTTGACTCTTTTGTTCACTTCATTGTTCGCTCAGTTGCTCACTCAATACTCATTCTTCTCACTCCCAACCAAACAGCCAGGCAGGTGCGTTCATTCCTTCTTTCCTTGGTTTGCTGTTGTGCTTGTGTGTGTGTGTGCTTGTTAGTTCATTCATTGATTCATCGACGGAACATTCGAAGAGCATGAAACAGGGAATGATGTGTGATTGATTGCGTGGAAAAGTGAGAGGCGGTTGAATGATTGATTGACTAAGTGAGAGGGAGTGGGTGAATCTTCCAGAATTCAACGAGTCATCAGCAATAAGTGTATATAATTAGTGCCTAAGGTTCGTTGAGAACATTGATAACTGATGAAAATACCCTGGTTTCTCAGTGATACACTCACGACTTGGGTAACTGATGAACTACGGCTGATACGCAGACAGCATCAGAAATATGTTTGGCTCATACATCTTCAGACAAAACGGTACAAAAGCACAAGAACAGCGGGACACACAGCCCTGGTTCATTGTTGTGGAACCAGCAGCCAGAAACACGTAGCAGTTCCAATGCAATTAGCGGGCTGACAAAACAAAGAGAGCCAATTCCAAGAAAACCTGTGCTCCCCATCCGTCTGGCCATCCGCCCGCTGCGCAGGAGCAAGAATCAAACCGTCCAAGATAAGGAAATTTGTTTCACGGCGACCATTCGTGAAGCTGACTTGAGAGCTCATGGAGCAAATCGTGTCGAGTGTTAATTTGCTATGATTTGTTTGTCTTCAGTGACAATTAGGCGCGTCTGTCTTTGGCATTGCAACCTCTTGCTACCAAATTAGTTTCCTTGCCAAGCTACACGCAACCTCCACCATGAAATCGCCTTTTGCCAAGCTGTTCTCGGACCTCCCAGGCTCCAAGGCACTGAGATTGCACCGCGAATGCGATTGACATCGATTGACCACTGTCGGGACTGTCGGGACTGAGATGCAGGCACTATGTAAGCCGGTGAAGCCGGTGGAGAAGTGCAAAATTCTGCTGCGCAACCAGAGAGCCTCCGTCGGATCGATTGCAACTTACGCAGAGAGGGCTTCACACTTCGCTCTTGTTGACAACTTGGACATTTGGTAATGAAAAAAGCAAACATATCTGTGCTGAAGAGCACTAGCAGGGCTTTTGAGTTAGTGAGCAAGCTAGCAGGAACAATCCAAAGACCAATATCACATGAATTTTCACTGCAGTTGTATCCAGATGCGCTGCAGAGTGGTTCATTATTCAATTTCCTGTCACCACTGTCGTGCACTCTATCCACCAGCTGTGCTTGTAAGAACTGCAAGTCCGCGTGTGGGGTCCACTCAATACAACAAGAACAAACAGCGTGCTAAAAATGTGTAACAAAAAAAACAAGAAAAAACATTCAATCGGTCCGATTCCTTTTGTAAAGTATTGTAAAGCCTTCAAGAAATGCATGTCCATCGTGACAAGGCCACTTATCACTACTCATGCAGTCGAGCAGCTTGTATGGGGTCAAGTCCTCCTCACATTCAGTGACTTTGGGCTTTCCTTTAAAAGCCTTAACGACACATCCGACACATCCGACACATCCGGCACAGGCAAATCTTGGGTGGCTATCTGATCCGATCTACTGGCCAAGGATTTGTCAAAGCCCTGCCCCATCAGGATTGGGCTCAGAAAGTGTATGCACGCATTCGCCCACATAAAAGCACGACAAATAAAGACTCACAAGAAATGCAAAATAGTACTGATGTCTACAGTAAATCCAAAGCTTACACGAAAGTTCTGAGTCTGGACCAACTTTCTGGAAGGCCAGCAACTGCTTTGCACTTGACAGGGACATCCAGCTCGCCCTTCATCAGAGACAGCTCGGTCACAAGGTAGTTGGTGATGTTTTCGGGACGAAGACAATGCTCAGTTTTGGCCGTTGTAGCAGTTGTAGCAGACACTCTGAATCCACTTCAGAACTAAATGTGCATTGATGTAAAGCAAACTTCTTGCACTATGCATCTCTTCCTGATTCAACAGCCCCCTACATTGTCACCTTTCTGCCTAGCCGAGTTGTGCAAAGTGCTGTAGTCAAACGATTGGACATGGATGGAAATGGCGCAACTCATGCACTCATGCACCTCCGTAAGAAATCGAAAAATCTAAGCTGCTGGCCTCTGCAAAAAGCTCCTGACTGCCAATTTCAACCGGTCGACTCATGTTCGCAACTTAGGCTGCTGACTCTCGACATCTGTTGACACCTCTCTATGTCTATGTTTGGACTGCGGATATCGGATATCATGCTGGACTGGCTTGACTCGAGACATCTGGGGTACAAAATCTGTCCTTGCCAAAGGATTCATCCTTGGTCAGGACCGCACCCTGAGTGCCTGTGACCACGGAGCGGAAGTCTCCATTGAGGTTCACTGCCTTTGGCTGCGAGCGGTGCAATGCAAAGTTTGTGGCTCCGGAAGGCGCAACAAAAATAACAAAAAGATCAGGTATGTGTTCCACTTTTCCTGGAACATATACATTGTATGTAATGTAACCTAACGTAGTATAAAGTAATGTATGTATACCATTATATAATTACCATTATATGTCATATTTCCAAATGCATAGAATCATAGAACTATGAGAATCGTGAGACTGATGCCAAGTTGGCAATGGAAGTTAAGGCCCCCACCACCTTGGACCAAGCTGATCGAAGCCATGTTCCAGTCGACGTGTCTTGGGTGCCCAATACAGTGGTTAGCACCCAATTTCGTACTTGCCGTGCTTGCTGCTGTGCAGAATTTTGGCCTGACACGAAGATCTCCAACCTCAAACCTTCTATGGTGAAACAATTTGAGACATGAGATGAAACCATGCTGAAATCATGATGCCAATTCAATGCCGAATCAGTGTGGCCTGATGAGTCAACAGCGCTGGTGACCACAACACCAAAATCTGCTCTTTCTTTCAGCTTGGACAGCCTGCAGGACCGGAGATCGCACTACTTGGGAAGCAGCAGATAGCTGCGCAGGGGACTTTACAAGATTCTACGAGTAGACATACATAGATGGACCAGTAGATTGTCTAGTAGACTCTAGAAATCTCTAGATTGTATATTGTCATGTATCTTCTTTCGGCCAGGCTGCGGAAACTGGATCATGATGTCGAACTTAGAAGAAGGTGATACCTTCCAACCTCATAAAATTGACCACCTGTCTGCAACTCCGCAAACTCTCTGGCAAACATCTGAGTGGTCAACTCCATCTTTCACCACGGCAGGCTTTCTGCACTGAGTCTCCCTGAGACAGACAAGCGTCAAGGCACGGCAAGTCATGTTGTACTGGATCACCTATGGATCTATGGGAACAAAGGAGGCTAAATCCATCGACTTAAACAAAAATTCACAAAACTTGTTTGTGGGTAGGTTGCACTGCATGAAAATCAGTGTTGCAACTGCTCACCAAATGCTGCCTTGACTTCAGGCTCGTCTGGAGAGGAGCAAACCTTGAGGAATCCAGGCATTTTCAAGCAGAAAATTGCCATTTTCAGCCAAGAGTTTCAGCAAAGAGCATCAAAAAGCAAACACGATGAATCTTCATCAGTTGCACAAATAAAGACAGGAAAAGCTCGTCTACTCGTAGACAAGACCCTACTCGGCTTGGGTGTTCAAGATGTCAAAAAGTCATTAAAATTCTGCAACAAGCAACTGCCTGAGAGTCACAACTCAAGCATGTTCCATTTGGATTCACTACTTTCACACCACCAACTTCGGCATAGGTGGTGTTTGAATCAACGAAGGCATCCTTAGTCCGCTTGTGTGAATCATGTCTTTCCATGCACTTGCCAACAAACAAAATTACCTGTTGGAATATTGCTGCAACTGACAAATGCTGTCTGGTGTTTGGTTGGGGCAGATTTCGCACAAAAGGCACTGCTGCTGAGCCTCAGCCTTAAATTTGAGAATCAATACTCTCAGATGCTTTGACTTTTCCAAAGCTTCAGCATTCTGCCGGAAGCCCATCATCTTTCCACATAAGGCCTAAGCAGCAAAGCTGTGTGAAGAAATCTTGAGAAACGTCAGCATTCTTGCCCGGACCTGATAAGGATCTGAGACCATCTAGGGCGCTTACCACTTTGGCTTGAAGAAAGATACTCCACACAAGTAGAACCTTGGCTTGGAATCAAAGCTGGGCAAACGTGTTTCAAATGTTGTTTTTCACCACTTGCATAGTTTGATGATTTTCTATTATTCTTGATGGGACGTTTTCTGCAGGACCATCAATCAGCATGCTAGGTCAGGTGGGAGGAAACTCAATGAAATCAGGACCAGAAAGGCGCAACCAATCGGATCAATCAAGGCAAAATGCCTATACAACCATGAAAGAATTTCCACCACGTGGCGCATATAAATCTCAAGGGCAGCTTATTTTTTTTTGCCGTATTCAGGTACACAAAAAGATGACTGGAGCTCGCATCAGAAGAATATATTGGGAGCAAATTAGAAGGTTAGTACGTGCTTCAATTCGATGTGAACTGGAACAATTTCTACCTCCGCACATTTCGCAGAAACGACTATGTCGGCCCTACTAGCATCATTTCATTTATACCGAAAGGCCGAAAGATGCATGTTTTTCAAATAGCTCAATTTTTTAGGTCTACAAGGGATGTCTGTAGAAATTGATCCCTTTACTCTAGCACTCGCGAAAGGTCAATTCTCCCTGAGACTGCGCAACTTAATGTGTTCAACTCTTGGTCGATGCGACGTGAAAGCACGTTGTTTTTGGAATGTTTCGTGAATAACGGCTGAGTCAGAATTACTCTCGTATTGTTTGCAGCGCGCAGGTCATTCACATCAAGTCCAAGTATGCAGGTCTGCTCAGCTTTAAAAATACTAAAAGCGTCCAACTTGCTGACAAATCAGCAATGTGCCAGGTACACTGTCCAGCGCCTCCATGTGCCACCGCCACAACACTGTATATGTACGGGGTATGGTCATCCCGTCCTCATTAAGGATGCTGGGTATATATATATATAAAGATGCATCTGTTCCATTTGTTCCACTCCGCAGCGATTTTGTCAGAAAATTAAATAAAAAACAAAACCTTCTCAGGAAACATCCATCCCCTTTCATCCAGACTCAGGCTATTGCCGGGCCAGACCCCAGGCGACATAGCCACATTTCCTTTAATCCCACCCAAAGTGCCAAGCCATACCTCAGGCCTTCAGGTCCAGGATTCGCATTGGAGGATGTTTCAAAAGGTTAAACTTACAAAAACCGAGCTGCTGCACAAACGTTTGGGCCTTTTGTGGCTCTTTTAGGTCCATGTCTCGTCTTCCTACCCCTCCATCAAGGACAAGCCTCGGGAGGGGAGGGCGGGACTTGAACCACAACACTAGGGAACACATATAACACATATGCATCTTAACCCCCGGGGTCGGGAATACAAAGATGCATCTGTTCCATTTGTTCCACTCCGCAGCGATTTTGTCAGAAAATTAAATAAAAAACAAAACCTTCTCAGGAAACATCCATCCCCTTTCATCCAGACTCAGGCTATTGCCGGGCCAGACCCCAGGCAACATAGCCACATTTCCTTTAATCCCACCCAAAGTGCCAAGCCATACCTCAGGCCTTCAGGTCCAGGATTCGCATTGGAGGATGTTTCAAAAGGTTAAACTTACAAAAACCGAGCTGCTGCACAAACGTTTGGGCCTTTTTTGGCTCTTTTAGGTCCATGTCTCGTCTTCCTACCACGGCCCCCAGTCCTTCCAGTCTTTAAGACTGGAGGCTCAAGTGTTGAAAAATTTCGTTTCTGGGAAACTTGCGCAAAAACATTCAAATAAGGTTTCAGATTGGGATCAGATCTGGGCAACTGCATACTCGCAAGCATGCTCAGCCCCTCATTGACGTAAATACGGGCAGTTTTTTGGGAAGCCCATCTTCCTTGGATGAGCAATCGGTCTAGAGATTGATGCTTGGAAAACCAGTACGTGGCGCCCCCACGTCTAAGTGAATACGGGCGAAACTGATAGCTTTCAAGGTGGAGTGCGGAAACGCAGTCATTAAAAAGTTTGCGCCAGTGGGCGGCTGATTTCACAAAAGGCGTCGTGGACTGAGCCAGAGACTTCCATTGTTTCACCAACAGAACAGCCGGTTCAAATCCCAAAATGACGCTTTCAGCGGCACCTTGTCTTTTTCCGCCTTTTGTCAACCCCAAACTGACAACAACTTGTCTATCCTTGCTTCCACAAAAAAGGTGGCTTGATCGGAGCCCTAAGATCTCCCCGGTTCTCAACATGCAGTAAAATCCTACTAATAGCGAGACAGCAAAAGAATTCCAGCCCTTGAAGAACGCCCACCCCGCCATGCATGAACCACGTGATCAGGGATAGGTGGCGCTCGCGCCGGAATCTCATTGATTGACCAAGTCTTGAGAAGTCTCCACGCCCCTGGTAAATTGTGGCGTAGATCCGGTTAGAGATCCTGAAGCCCTGCCAGAGTGTCGCACGCCTGGGCTCGACCAGCTCCTGTGCTCCACAGGTAGTCCACATAGTCAGCCACCAACCCGTCCAATTTAGACTTCTGTTGGGGTAGCACCAAGTCAGCGTTTTTGAGGTAGGTGAAAAAGTTTTGCACGGCAGCGGCATATCGTTTTTTCGTGGCAGGCTGTACAGTAAGCTCCTTCAGACTCCCTAGTCTACGGCGTTGGGCGGCACGGTCTTGGGGCAGGGCGGCTTCAAGCACCCTTTTTCTTGACATTCCGGAATTTGGATTTCACCCGCTGTCCCCACCTTGATGGACGATCAGACGGGTTGTCATCGGTGTGGACATAGGCCCACACGGCTTGCACATTCCCCGCCAAGACCAATGCATTCACCCTTGCCATAGTACGTCGGAGCCTTCGGGAACTACTGCGGCCACGCGATAACGTGTGCAAACACACCAAGCTATCGGTCAAGTGGACCAGCCTACATGCCACGTGCTGCTGCTTTTCGATTCGCCACCTCAAAGTAGTCAAAACTGCCCGCAGTTCCAAACTGTTGATGTGCTCGGCCCCGTGGCGCCACCGCCAGCCAGCAATGATCTGCCACTTCCACAATTTTGAAGGGACGCTGGCCCGCAACCTGTGAAATTTCGCCATCTGAGACGTAGGGGTGTTCAGTAGTATGTCTTCTCCCTTCACGGATACCAGATTCCCCAGCTTACACGCCAGGGCATAAGGATCAGTCTCACATGGTTTGCGACTGGGGTTGAGGGGAAGCCGCGACAATCGCCCTTGAATGAAAACATGCTGACCTGATGAACAATTATCCAGAATTCCCTGAGGATCCAAGCGACCAATCCAACCCAGCCATGAAAAGAGTTGCCCTAGCAGGAACCCTATACTACCGGCACTGACCAGCTGTTTCCGAGCAGAGTCAAGCGGACATCGTTGTAGTCAGCCTTTTTGCGCTCCGTTTTCCCACAGCATGTGCTCGTGTAGTGAAGTGGAAACCCCATCATGAGCTCCCGCTCCGAGACGTCAGGGATCCTAAAGTCCCCGGTCCGGCTGACCAAGCAGTGGGTGTCCTTGTACTGGTAGGGCGGAAAGCGGAACCTGTCTTGGTGCCATCGCTCCAACTCATGCAAACTGCACTGCTGCACCCCCGCCGGCTTCCTCCCCGCACGGTCTCTCGGGCGACTCGTGGTAAACGTAGGGAAGGCCTTTTCAGGGTCCACCTTCCACCAGCCGGCGCGGATCACCTCCTCGGTCTTTTGGTTTCCTGACAGCTCCAATTTGACCAAATCACCGCTGTGGTCAAGCCGCGCATTGTCACACTCATCAATTTCCCAGCTTAGCCAATACAGGCGAGGTCTGTGACACCAGGTGAAGGACCCGGCATCGCAGAAGAGGGGATCTGCGCCATAACCCTGGCTCATTGTTGCGCGGTCCTGCTCATCCATAGAACCCACGGACTCCATAAGCGTGTGGACAGGGCACCACCGAAACGCATGCCGAACCAGGTCACGTACCCGCGGCACGTGCTGGAACAGGCTCGACCGCTCATCCCGCAAGGCTCCCCTGCGATCAGGGTTTAACCCCGACACACCTTGGCAGGGCGGCCCGGCCCCAATCAACACCAAACTGCATTGTGAAAACTGGCAGGCCCACTGCTTGACCATGTCCTCTGTGATATCTACCACTGAAGAAACGGTGAGGGTACCTGGATAGTGCGACTCCACGACTCTCTGGGCCGGCTTGTGGCACTCCACAGACACATAGCCCAACCAAGGCAACCCTGAGCGCCCCGATCCCATCGAAGAGCCCGATGGCAAAGACCATCAGGTCGTCCCCGGGTTCAGGGACTTCTCCCCGCAGGGCACCACCACTGACCATTCCTCCAAGAGCCGTAAGCCTGGTCGAGGCACAGATTCCTCCCCCTTGGCTTGAGGCGTCACTGCAGGTCACCATGGGATGCATGTCTAATCTAAAATCAAGCCGCGCTAGCGGCAGCAACCCCAGGAAGCGCAGCACTTCCAGACGGCATGCAGCCGGCGTGGCCCGTACTCGCTTCTTGTAGCGGTCATAGGACAGAATGTGCATCCAGACTTGGTTGAGGCTTCCAAGGAGCGGCCGGCGAAACATGCTGATATACACCAGTCCCCCGCAAACTACCTGCCATTGTCGCTGTGTCGCCGCCGCACGTTGACAAAGGTCAAGGGCAAGACTGAAGTACTTCACCAACTTAGCCTCACGGGGATAGGCGACTCCAGCCACCCCATCCACCGTTGCCCCTTGAAGTTCACATTGCGAGGATCGCTCGACCGCCTTCTTCAAGTTCCTTGGCACCCCCCATTTTTCGTACTCGTTCCTCAGGGACAATACCCCGGCGGCACAACTCCCTTCCAAACTCGTCACGTCCGTCTTGGAGACCTTTTCCAGAAGATCGTAGTTGTCCAGGTAGATTCTCCAATTTGTGCTGTGATGGCTGAATTCACGGTCCTTGCGGAGCTCCGCCTCAGGGCGATTACCCCCCGCGTCT